TCGCCTCTAGAGGTTCTGTGTTAAGAGATTTTCAAAGCTCAGATCAAGAAATCTCTACTTTCTAATATACTGTTACGAATTTGGAATTTAAAAAGCTAATGTTAGTTCAATTATAAATTAAATGGTTTTATTTCCAGCGCAGTGCAGCGCGTGACGAATATTAAAAGAAGAAAGCTAAGCCGGAAAATTAAAAATACAAGGGCACGTGCATTTAACATTAAATAAATAAATATGTCTTTTTTGATTTTTAGAAGTACTAGAAATTCTCGCGCGTGATTTTAAAATCTTATAGAAGGAGGAAAACATCTCAGTTCGTAGTAGTTGCTTAGTTTGTTGTTGTTTAGAAAACTTCTCTTATTGATTGTAGCGACTACCACCAGCTTCTGCATTATAAAATATTCCCCACAGCTTTCAAAAAAGGCAATGTGGTATTATTTTTAAAAAAGGATAAAGACCCCCTAGTATCGAGTTCCTTTAGGCCAATTTGCCTTCTGTCGGCGATGGGAAAGATTTACGAGAAGCTCATCGTCAACAGGCTAAAATTTCATCTACATCAATACCAAAGCATTAGCCCAAGACAATTTGGCTTCAAACAAGGCAGTTCTACCACTCATGCCCTGCAGCGAATCCATGAAGTCATAATTCAGAACAAATCGCAGGGCTACCAGACGGCTTTTATATCGATAGATTTGCAAAGTGCGTTCGATACCCTCTGGTGGCCTGCCATCAGGCAGGCCCTCAGAGAGGCAAGATGCCCAAGAAATATCTATCAAGTTCTGGACAACTATCTGGCAGACCGGCAACTGATGATCTCTAACAACAGTAGTACTGTTTCAATAACACAAGTGAGAGGATGTCCACAGGGGTCCTGTGCAGGGCCTCTGCTATGGAACCTCACCTTTAATAAAGTCTTAGAGGCAAGGTGGCCACAACATACTGTGTTAGTTGCATACGCGGACGACGCGGCATTACTGGTCAGAGGCCGCACACGCGCTGAGCTTGAAGCCCATGGCAGTGAGTCATGCACTATCTTTGCCAACCTCTGCGAAGAGCTAAAACTCAAAATATCCACCACAAAGTCCACTGCTATCATCTTTCCAAGAAAGGGTACAAATCCAACACGTAGCCCATGTATCAAACTACAAGGCCGGAATATTAAGGTCGTAAAAACTTTAAGATACCTTGGGGTAATATGGGACCCAGGTCTGACTTGGCTTCCGCATATCCAGGCACAAAAGATTAAAACATCTGCAATTGCCAGGAGATCACGACAATTCCAAGGCCGGAACTGGGGACGGAATCCCCACATTCAAAAGGTACTTTATAAAACTGTAGCTGAGAAGGTGGCACTCTATGCGGCAGCTATATGGGCACAACCCATGACCGCACGCAAGGTTAAGCAACTCCTATCACTACAGCGCCCATTCGCCATAGGCTTATGCAGAGCCTACCGCACCACTGCAACTTATGCAGCACTCACCTTGGCAGGCATCATACCACTTCATATCCAAGCGGAGCTAGAGGCCACATATACTAAAATAATACATCTACAGAAAGACGCAACCTTTGCAGGCACCTTACATAGCCCTGCAAATTACGAACATCCATGTACTCCTCTCCACACGCACCCAGCACACAAGGGACTTGGCATTCACACTATCCTCAAACCGTCACGAAGTCAACCAGAAGGAAACCCTAATATGCACGCGTTCTACACAGATGGCTCGAAAACTGCTGAGGGTGTAGGTAGTGCCTTTATATACTACAGGCAAGGCCATGCTGCACACCATTGGAAAGGGCACCTCAATCCAAATAATAGCATTTTTCAAGCAGAAGTAGTTGCCATAACAGCTGCCATTGAATACGTGGCGCTCAACAACATCACACATGTGCAGCTTTATACAGACAGTATGTCGACACTGCTTGCTCTTGACAAACATAGTCACGCCTCCCCGCTGATCATACGACTGCAGCATATCCTAAAAGATAATCGGCACGCACATGTTGACCTAGTATGGATTAAAGCCCATGCAGGTAACATGGGTAATGAGACAGCGGATGAACTCGCTAAAGAGGCTGCTTCGAACCAAAATGCCAGACCGATATCAGTATCAGCACCACCATCTTTCCTCAAAAGTCAACTGCGAAATGCCGCTATCCAGTGGTGGCAAAGAGAATGGGATCAGGGCGACACGGGAAGGAGAGCGCATAGCTTCTTGCCAAAAGTAACCACGGAGCGCCTTATGGCAATTGCTCCCCTTACCAACTTCATTACTGGTCATGGTCCCTTCCCGGATTACTTCTACCGCCGCACCGCACCATCTCAACCACGGATCGCTGTGTGTTTGCGGGGGTGAGGGGTCACCGGACCATTATATCTTTCAGTGCCCACTCACGGAACAGTTCCACTTCCCGATACCAGCCAATATCTCAGCATTTCACAAGTTCCTAGCCAAAAACAGAGCGGCCATAAATAAAATCTGCAAAATAATAACCACCATTGCAGCATATGGCCAGGACCTCTGTCAACCAGAGTAATAGGGCTTACATGCATTACTTGCACTGACATATGCACTCTAATGCTCTACCATCTAATCTCTGACTGCATAGGGAGCAGAAGAAAATTGAACACCATTTTTAGGTGTTTAATTTTCTTCTATTATAATGTTTTTTTTTTTTTTTTCAAACCGTGCCTGTATGTTATTTCAAATGCCAGATGTTAAACAGTTGCCCCTGTATGGCCATGTATCCACACTTATAACTATTAAATAAACTCCAGGGGAGGACGCGGGACATATGCCTGTTAACCTCTGTTAAGCTTCAGGCGTCCCCGTCCTCCGTCACCTGTCACTTGTTGATTGTAGCGAATTCGCGGATTAGCTTTCTTTAGCTGTTTTGAATTACGTTCTATTGCACATTTTAGTAGTTAAAAGATAACTACTGTGAGATATTGTAATACTGCATGATAATTTGAGAAAATTTAATTATATTCATTGTGATAATAATAAATTTTTGTTCATTTTTCATCGGATTTGTGCAGTCATTTCGTCACGAACCCGTACGCACGTAACAATACTTTAGATATTTTAATATCTGCTGATGTGCCTTAAAACGACTGTCAGTAACGTTACAAAGTGATCATCATCTTAAACAAAAGCAATTCACTGTACCACCTCATGCTTTCGACATCACGTTGTTCTAGAAGAAGATGTGTACCGAAAACATAGCAGACAAAACCATCACAGAGAAAACAACAGAAGGCGAAAACGTCGTAGTATAACACATGGTGGGAGAAAAGGAAGCAAAGAGAAAACATCGCAGTTCTAAAGCATCGTGGTACAAAATATATCGTTGTCGATAAATAAAGAGGATCAGTAACTTCAAAGTTTAAAAACATCGTCGTCGAAAATATCGTGGTAAAAAATAAAGCACCATCGCATGACGATAACATCGCAGACGTGCGTTTTTCAGGCTTTGCAAGTTGTAAATACATATTCGCATAATGATTTGTGAGCGCAAGGTAGAAAGACGTACATTTTTATTTTTACATTTCATGATTTTGAATTAATTAATAAATTTTTTGCTAAAAATGGAAGAAAGATGCTTAAGCTTTTAAAAACTGAAAATGAGCAGAAAATTAATGCAATTTAAGCACTGAATAAAGTTTTAAACTTACACATAATTAACTAATAAAGGTCACACGTAAAGTAAATTAATCTTTTTTATTATGCTTACTGATAAATTAACAAACGAGAAAGAAAATAATTTTATAATTAATTAAATAATTCTTATGGATGTAATCTAACGCAGTTACCTATCTTCCTTTTTCTAAACGTTTCCAGAATATATTTTTCATGGAAACTTATTAGTAAAACTTTATAAAAAAGATTAATTTGCTTATATCCTTTATTAATACTCTATATATGTTTAAAATTGAATTAAGTGTTAGAAGTTGCATTAATTTTCTATTTATTTTCAGTTTTTAAATGCTTAAGTTCTTTTTCAGCAAAAAAAAATATTAGTTTAATTCAAAATTATGAAATATAAAAATAATAATGCTTTCCTTCTTTTTTTTTTTTATAATACAAATCATTATGCCAATATGCATTTTCAACTTTCAAAGCCTAAAAAACGCATGTCTGCTATTTTATCATAATGCGATGATTTCTTTATTTTTTCCCCGATATTTCCAACAACCATGTTTTAAACTGCGAAGTTAATGAACCGCTCTACTTTCGACGACGATATTTTGTACCACGATGTTTTAGTACAGCGATGTTTTCTCCGCGACATTTTCTTCCGCGATGTTTTTGCCGTAACATTTTGGGCTGTAACCGCTCTAGAAGGCACGGGAAACGAAAATCATTCATCATGCACCTGAAATTTTTATAGTTTATAAGGTATTTTTCCCGCCTTCTTAGCGTGCCTTCGTGGTGTAGGGGTCTGCACACTGGGCGCGTATTCCAGAGATCCGTGGTTTTCGATTACCGGAGAGGGTGTTGCTTAGTTTTCGTTTTTCTGCTTCTAATTAACCTAATCTCTCTACAAGTTATTATGTTTCCGTCTTTTAGGAAGGCACAGAGTCTCATAACACGACACCAAATGGCTTCAAGGGCAGGATTTGGAATTGTGCACGATACAGGCAATTATTGAAGGTCATCACCTTCTAATGTGGTGTAAATTTGGTAATTAGTAAACTGTGATTTCAAATATAGTAAAGACACATAATCTGCGATATCATGAGATGTAAAAGACAAAACTCAATTTAAAACAATATTGGAGAATGTTTTAAATCCAGTAACCAATGACAAACGTAGAAATTATCTTCTCCTTTTCTTTGGCCCCATAATATATTTTTTACATTTTACAACTACCCATTTTATATTTAGAGATTAATTTTATACACTGCGTTCTTGCACAGCTGAGTGCACAACTTACCCTTAAGTGCCTTACCCTTAAGTACTTACCCTTAAGTGACTTACCCTTCTTGCACAACTTACCCTTAAGTGACTGAGGCACATGCCAGTAGCTTCATCCCTGGGTAGATTGAATGCATTAAAGGTTAGTTTCACTCTTCTTCCTTCAGGTGCTTCAACATGCCAGAAGCATTCTCTTCTGCCTGTAAGAGGATTAGGATAATGCGGGGAAGTGATCACACCTGAGGAAATGCCTTCTACATAACCGCCACAACCTGAAAAAGGATTCGTATTCATACACCTGTACATTAAAGATGCAAAGAAAGACTATAATAAAGTATGCTCATTTAATCTAAACCGATAAATACAGAAATCCAATAGCTTCTATCAACACTATATCTGCACCGAATTTAAAAGAAAATGCCTATTATTAAAGATTATGCCGATTATATCAATTATTAATAATTATAACAAATATTAGAAACGTCAATTATTAATGATTATACCAATTATTAATAAATATGTCAATTAAAAATAAAATGGTAATTATGAATTATTTTTAGCGAAAAGAGAATTTTTATATATAAAGTTTAACTAATTGTCATTAGAAGAGTATTGTCGTTTTACGTACACCCTGCAAAAAAAAAAGTGGGACAATTTTTCCATGTCTCGAAAGTGCAATATAGGATGTATATTAGATTTATATACAGCATTGAAAAAAAAAAAAAACAAAAAAAAAAAAAAAAAAAAAACCGGACGGACTTTCAAATACAGGTTTTTCCATATTTTGATTCTACGACGCAATTTATGCCCGAATATTAAATTTTGTAAAATTTGGTGGGAAACTTATGGAAGAATTTCTTGACGTTTTTTCAGCCAAGAATAATGCACTTGGCAAACTTATTAATTTATAACAAACTATTTTCTTTTCCTTTTTTTTCATTTTACACGAGCGGAAAAAAAGTCACCGTTCACACTTTCAAACATTTTTAGCAAAGTGCGTAAATCTTATTTGGCGTTGTTATAGCTTATAACAAATATGCCAAATTTCAAAACGCGCCAATATATAAATTTACGTATATTTTTGGAAATTTTGAATAAAAAACTAATTTTTTGCAGCTATGCTCAGAAATATATCTACTTTAAGATGATGGTAAAAACTGTATAGGTTTAATTCAAAATGGTTTTCGAAAAATTTATAAAAATTATTTTAAAATACAATTAAAAAAAAAAAAAAAAATTAAAAAATTATAAAATGGCGAATGTTTTTTGGGATAAGCCTAAATTTCGAAATGTGAAAAGAAGAATCAAGTAAGTTTAATAAAAAAGGAGATATTAATATCTATTTACAAAATTCAATTAACATGGAGAAACTAAAATTTTGACAGCTAATTTAAAAAAAAAATGTGCGTTTTTTTTAAAACTTAGCGCTTTGGCATAATTTGAGTGGTAGAATCGAAATATGGAAAAAATTGGAATGTTATTTCAGAAAAAATCCGATTTTGTGTCAAAATACCTACATTAGAACAATGCTATATGTAAATCCAATATATATCCTAAGTCGCGCTTTGGAGACATGGAAAGTGGAAGTTAAATTTCGACAACCATGTCCAATAGAATGAGAGATAAAGAATTGTCCTATTTGCCTTTCGGTGCGAGGTATACATAGAAAAATGCTTAAAAGAAATTACTGTGTATAAATGCTGTAGAGTCATCAGGTTTTTTGAAGCATGGGGCATGAAAAATGTGCAATGTCCTACCAGGAACTGAACCCTGGACCTCATGAATACGCATCGAGTGTGCTTCCAGTTATACCACTAAGGCAGGCCAATAGGAAGGGGGGAATGCCTTATATGGCATTCAAATGAGACCAAAACGAATGATTAAAAAGTGAAATGATTACAGAGCATGTCATTGTTCTTAATAGTCGTACATTTCTGTGATGCGCACTGCTCATTAAAAGTAAAGAATAATAGGAAAACGGAAAACGAATGCTCATTAAAGTTTTCAATCCATGTTAAGTGGTGTAATTATTATGATAATTATTTTCATCTAAGCGTAAAACTGGACACTTGCACGTATGTTAGCGCATGAAATGTGCAAATTAGCCTACTGACAACCTAATATTTAGTGAATAATACTGGAATTCGGATGTGCAATGTTGCTTAACGTTCATGTATGAGCGTGATCAATATGCATTCCCCATGACTCAAAGGCATAATTTCAAAGAAGGGAAAACTTGTCAGTTAATTGGTAGACTTTATGGAGCCAAAAGCAAAAGAAGGAGGCTCAAGTATATTCCTCAAAGGATCATAACAAGAACTTAGAAGCTCCTTTTAAACGCTAAAGTTTTAGTTCAACTATACAGATTGTAAATAGTGTAGTGAAGTGTTTAGAGAAATTTCACCGTTTTGGTCGAACATCAAATTGTTGTTACGAATTTTGTACATAAATAGATGATTTTAGCGCAGTTACACGTGAAATTGTTGTAATTTTCTTTGTAATGTGACATGAAAAGTCTAGAAAGGCAATCTATGCCGGAAAAGTAAGAATACAGGGCCACGTCTTTTAACGTTGGGTAAATGGGTATCGTGGTAATTTGGAGAAATATCGCCAAGTTGGCAAGGGTTTTGGCGATTAATTTTTAATGCCGAATCTGGCAAAAAATCAACAAAAGTCGCCAAACATGGCGACCATTATCGACATTTTGTTCTCCTCCCTGTATCACTGTAATAGGTATTGTAATTGATCACTACATTAGTTGTCACCATAATTCAATCCTTATATCGTCTTCGAGTAATTTCGAGAAGCAGAAAGTACTAGAAATATCTCGGCGGCATTGTGAAAACTACATAAGGTCGGAGAGAGCACCAGCTCTCAGTAGTTGCTGTTGGCTGTTAGCTCAGGGTGAGTTCGGAGTACTCTCTCCAGTTTAGCTTAGCTCTATAGTTGCGCTTTGCATTGCCTTGTGTTTAACGTTCGTAGTAGTTCGAAGTGTAACTACTGATTGTACTCTGTGACATTGTGAAGAGTTATATAGTATAGAGTAGACTAATATTTGTGGAATAATATATAGAGTAGACTATACCTTCTATATAGAGAGTAGACTATATTTGTGGAAAGTTACAGATCTCTGAAGTGTTTCTTTCGATAAAATAAATTTTTATCAACCCATCCTCGGATCTGTGTGCAGTCAATCTATTACGAACCCGTACGCACACACCAATATTTATTTTTCAAACTTACAGAAAACCTACTACGTTTTCAGCGCGATGATTTTCAACGCATCTTTAAAATCTTTAAAATAGCATCTTTTAAGTGGGAGGACTTTTATTTTTCTCACTCGATACTTCTTTTGGTAGAGTAGCACGCAATGTTACAATAGGTAAGTTAGTCAAATGCAATACAATATATCCAGCATTCTTTACCAAAAAGCTAGAGAGAACTGCTTAATTTGAAAGGCTATTTTTGAACAGCTTTAATAGATTAAACAAGTTAATTAGAAAAAGGCATTATTTAGTCAGCACTGTAAGTGAACAATAATTCATACAAATTTATTTTTGTGTGTTGATATAGGAATAAATATTGTTTCAAATTTTGTACATTGAGAGATAATTTTAGGGAAATTATACGTGAAAGTGTTATATTTCTTTTATATAATGTAACATGAAAATTTAAATAAGCGAAACTTGCGGAAAAGTAAGAATACAGTGACAAGTATATTTATATTTAAAATTGAGAAAATGGCTATCTCACTAATTTGACGAGTTATCAACGGTTTGGTTTTGGCGACTTATTTTTACCTGCAAATTTGACGAGGGATCGCCAAAATCACCAAACATGGCGACCATTTGGCGACATTATGATCCGGTCCTGTATTATCGTAAGAAGTATAGTAATTATATAACTGTATTTGATGTTCTGTGTAGCTGTAACCGTAATTCAGCCCTCACATGCCTTCCATTCATTTCGAGAAGCAGAAGCTAATAGAAACATTTCAGCAGTCAGGTGAAAACTATATAATGCCGGAGTACACATCTGCTTTCGGTGATTAGTCAAGAGTAAATTGGAATATTGAGATATCTCCGAGTTAGCGTCGCTCTTTAGATGCGTTTTGCACTGCGTTGAGTTTAACGTTCATAGTACGTATTTTGAATATAGATTGGTGATTCTATTCTGTGATATTGTGAAGAGTTGTAATGAATAATTTTGAGGAAAGTTCCAAATCTCTGAAGTATTTCTTCTGATAGAATAAACTTTAACAACCTATTATCGGAGTGCGTGCATTTAATCTATTATAAACCCGCCCGCACCCAACAATAGAATTACAATATTTGAAACATTTAATTCCCGATGTGAACATTAAAATAAAGTTCACTCCTATGTGACCACTTAATTTACAATATGTTTAACGTAGTAATGGATTTTTAGAATTAATATGCTTACATATCGGTAATAAATTCCGTTGCTTTGTGATTCTTAACAATTAGTATTAGAAATTTTTATGAAATTTTACGATAGCATTCCAAATTTTAATGGAAGATGTGTTTCTTTTTAATTTCCTGTTGATCTTTGGTATGCCGACACACAACTTCTAAAACAAAAGAATTCATGGAGAAAGGGAGAATTGTATTATCAAGTACCTTCATTAAACTTTGCATTCATAACAATGTGGAATCCTTTTCCTGTCACGGCAGAATTAGTGTTAAACTTGATATATGCTTGTGGACTCGGAACATCGATAACTTGGGAGCCGTTGGTTAAGCTGCCACAAAACGTACCAAGAACTTCACCTGGAACGAAATGTTTACGTTAATTATATTCATGTGTACAACAATCTGCCAAAATCGTGTGTTTAAGTACAGCTGGATTAAAAAAAAAATAGTTCATAAACTGCTATAAGTCTTATTTTAAAATAAATTTTATAGTTCCAAAATTCAGCTTACGGAAACGTAACAACTGTGTATGTATAATTACAATCAACTCTTGATTAATCTAGGGTTTGTCTAAAAAACTTACATTAGTTTACTGCGAAAGGATAGGAAAGTAAATCAGAGTAAATTCTGTTTCACGAGGCTAAAATTAAAATTAAACACTGTTAACTATGTATTTTACTTTAACAGTGTTTAACTTTAACTTTTATTTAACTAAGATAAAAGTTAAGACGGGTTCGTTAAACTACTTAAAGAGCACTTCATCACAGAAGTATTTTCCATCACAAACAAGTCAGTCAACATCTCTACTTAAAATTGTGGATCTCTATCGCTCCGCGAGTACTAACAGATCATCGTAAAATGTTTTCACTTTAGTATTATACGAGTATTTAGGTTATTCTTAGATAAAGTAGCTCACATTTGTTTTCCGAGACTTGCGTTTTCGAAGTTTATTTGAAAATATCAGTTACCAAATGCTAATGAAATAACGTTTTTTCACTTATACTAATGATAACCTTTTCTAAAATTTGATTCGTTTATAAAAGTTTATCCAAACAGTTTATCGTTGAAAAAAAAAACCTAATAGAGTTCAGAGGTAAAGTCGCTGAACACTGGTAGTTCGGTTTGAGGTTTGAATCCCGCGAACGGGCTGGCTGCATGGGCGTTTTCGTGGTTTTCTCCATGTGTCACGTGTATACGAGCCACTTTCCCTTAGAAAGTTCTCCACGAAGGCATCTCTCCCCTTAGACATATAGCCCTAGTGTGCTTTGCCGTAATTTCAATAAATAAATAAATAATAAATAACCTAATAGAGTTCAGATTTTAACAGTCGCCCAGACGGGTTCGTTAAAGTTTTTATACGTTCTCGCTGAGCTCGCTAATAGTCTTCTGTTAGACTCCTGTTACCCATTTCTTTTTGTTTTTTTAGCTTTGTTGTAAATCATAATTTTCTTCACACTTAAGCCATGTGTCAAGAGCAAAAATTTAAAAGCAGCGCAACAGCACATGTTTAGAATTTTTAATATAGTGTTACATGTTGACTTACACTTTTCGTTTTTTTTACAGGCTTTACTCGGTTCATCAATGTTCAATTTTCTTAGTAAGATGGGTTTAAAAACACGTTTTACGTCTTCTTAAAGTTTTGTGTCCCAGCTTTATTTAATAAATATTGTGCTATTCGCACTTAAGGCACATAAAATTCCATTGAAAAGCATAAAATATTTAAAATGTATCTTTAGAATTTACGACAGACTGTTTGGTGCGCTGGAGATGAAAATGATTTAGTCCGTACAGTGCTGCCACTTCGTGTTTTCAAATCTTTGAGTTTGTTAATCAAAAATTCTTTAAAAGTTTCCAAAATATGAAATACAAAATTTAAAATTCAGGCTTCCAGGAGCATATGTTCGGGTGGACTACGTTATTCAAAATTTGGCGGCTCTATGTACCTCCTTATTTAATTTTTGAAAGAATAATACAGAATATTATTATCTGATGGCAACAATTTGAACACTGAGTCTCCTTTTATAGAAGACGATGCTAAATTATCCTGTTTCGTGACTAATGCCTTTTTTGCTAAATTTTCAAAAACGTATGAAAATAAACTCGCATAAGTATTCCGATACTTTAAACAAATAGTTTTAAATTAAATAATTCTAAATTAAACAGTTTTTATTTAATAAAAATACGAAAATACTGGAACATTCAATATTCTGTTGGATAGCCTTTATCTAAAATTGCATTTAAAATCTGTGTTCGTGTTAGGTTGTTCTATTTTATATTATCAAGTAAGAATTCTTTTAATGAATCTTTCGATTAAATGTCATGTTTCCTTATTCTTTTTCCAACCGAAATTGTATATGCTCGATAGGATTTAAGCCCGAAGAATACATACAACCTTGTTGCATAACAGCTAAAAGCGAATATTTAGGGTGTGTGATTAGAATCGTTATCCTATTAGAATTTAAATTCATTTTGCATTTTAAGTTTTCTTGTAGATGCCTTTCATGAAAAATATTTACATTATTATTTTACCTATTATTATATTACCTATTATTTTCTATAAAAGCTACATTATTATGTTACCTATTATTTTCTATAAAAGCTACATTTCCCGTCTAAAAAATTAAGCTAAATATTCCCAACACATTACATCTCCACCCTCATCCTTAATATTAGGTAATAAGTTCTACTGATTGAATTTTTTTATTTGTCTTTCGCCATATAGCAATTCGTTCATCGAAACTGAATGCATTGAATTGTGACTAGTTTGCAAATATAACATTGTTTCAAAATGGCAAATCTTTGCTTATCCTAGATTTTGCGAAATCTAAGTATATTTCCCTGTTGACGAAGAATTCCTTTTTTGATTACCCAATGTCACCATTAACTTTAATGATTCTTCTAACGATTTTAGCGTTTAAATTCTATTGCAGACAGTTCTACTAAATCCGCTGTAAATTTCACGATATTAATATTTGGGGTTTGTTTGATTTTTTATAGGATAAATTTACGTCGTTTTCGTATTAGCTGAGCGTTGTACAGACTACAGTGCATTTCCAATAGTTACGCGAATATTCCATCGTTTTATAACATCAAAGAGAGCTGAAAGCTTTACATCAAGCAGTTTTCTGATATTTGGAATACTTTTGCCTCACATTTTCAGAAAACCAAGCCCCAAGTTCTGAGAAGTATGCTAAAATAAAATCTGCTGTGCACAGTTCCACAGTGTTATCGTCTTATTTATGACAAAAAGAAATGAAAGGAAAACATGTTCAGAGAATTTATAATCTTATTTCCTTACGAATGATAATTATTTTCATCAGAAATCGGTTAGCCCATTTAACATGCCAACTCCATCCGTCTCTCATGTACTCTCATCATCATGAATTAAAAAAAAATATGTGCTAAGAAATTAGTCATCCAAAATAAATGATATTTAACTGTAAAGCTGGTTCAGGTGCTTCTTCCAAAATTCAATCCAGTCATCCACTACATCGCAGTTTTCAGGCAACGACGCAGCAGTATTCTAGGCTAGGCTATGACTAAAAAGTGAATTGGTGCCTTTGTTACTCAAGTTGTCATCTAATATCAAGTTATTTACAACAAAATAAATCCTCACATATGTTAAGAAGTTACATCCAGCCAGGAGATACGGAGCTGACGTCACTCCAGGTTACCTCCAGCACAGTAACGGATGAGCAGTGGACATCGACGAAAGCAGACGGGCTTTCTCAAAGCGAAAGCCGTGAGACAGATGGCCCCACTAGAATCAGGCAGACGAGCCTTACAGGAGTTTTGGAAGAAGATAGTCTCCCAGATGTTAATAATGTTCAACCAGCATTTGAACATATTTGAACTTTGTCCCAGAGATGATGGAGCATAATGCGTGCGAGTTACTATTAATGTGCGAAAATGGGTATACAGCGAAATGGGTTATGTGCATAAACTATACTGTTAACTGGATACGGACTATCATATTCTTGTCGGATCGCCTAGCGACTTTATACAAAATCCCAGCTAACAAGTTTACTTATTTAATCATAATAATTTAGTAAATAAGTAATTAATAATGTAAGATAGTTTATATTTTTATATTACTACTTTCCGTTATACCTCAAACATGTATCCCTCTCACATAGATTTATAAACATAGTACTAAAATAGTACTAAAACATAGTACTAAAATACGTATATACTCCAAAATTAGAGGAATGTAAGCAAAAACTGCAGTTGATCCAAAACAGGTATAGATAATGCGCACGGCAGAAAATATGAAACTTTCAATGTAATTCTTCGTTTCTAATGTATGTTGAGATGATAATAGTAAATGGTGATGATTATATTTAAGCTCCCGATGATTTATTAGTTTTGCATTTATAAGGAAAGTTTTTACAGCGACTAAATATGTACAAGTGAATATCATTTATCAGATTACACCATCTGAAACAGCTTAAAAAATTCCAGAAAGGTTACCCAAAAAGACAATTACCAAACGAAACCGCTTTACCATTACAATTCTTCAAACCTGTCATTAAAATGTCAGATAAACGTAACGAGAGTTCTACAGCAGTTGCATGAAACCAAGCATTATTGTACATTATTGGCAGTACTTTCAGATCCTTAATATGGAGTTTGCTTCCAAATAACAAATGCCGACTTTAAGGATAGTAGTTTACAGAATATGGAGATTTGACATTGGTATTGAGAAACAATGATAATTTTGTCACAATCAAACATTCGTTGTAAGGAAGTTCTTTTAGCTTCTTAATTTATTACTTGACATATTATTACATTATTTGGCATCTTACTTCGTGTTTAAAGCTTTCTTATATAGCGTGAGAAAGATACTGCAATAGTCGTCTCCACGCAGAAGAGCTGGATAAATTTTGAAGAAAAGGCAGGAAGGGAAAGGCAAATTTTGATAAGTTTTAAAATAAGAATTTATATAAGTTGTAACGTCATACTCTCTTTGCTGTCATAAGATGTTCTCGACGTTGAACACTGTTTGGGGAATTATCACCAAGTCCTTTAAAGTACTGCGAATTCAGAATAAGTGTAAGGAACCCTTAATTAACTCAATTAAAATTTACAGTCGGCACCAACTTATGCTTACAAAAGCCAACGATTTCCGCTTATGCAAAAGGTAAGGAATAACGTAAAAAATAATGAAGTTAAGTATACCTATGGCTTCAGAGTTTTACTATGGCGCAAGTTGGCTTTGCTTTGAAAGTCGGAGTAAACAAGCCTAACCGCAAGAATAATTCAACGCCGCAGAAATCTAATTGCTAGAGAATCAGTGATATCAGCGTGGCCTTCAAGCAGGCAGAATACGCTCTGGTTTCACCATCCAAAAGCTTCTCTTAAATACTAACTTCTTGCTACTTCATTTGAATACACGCACGCTCGTCGATTTGCATTCTGGCAAGTTGAAAGCCAGGGCGATAAGAAAGTTGACTGACCATAAAATAACTGTGAAGTAAATTAAATAAACCTCCACACAGTTAAAAGAAACATCTGCATTTAAATCGAAACTATACTAGAAAAACCACTGTTTTCATTTAAAAAATATTCTTGAATTAAACAATTGTTACATCAGATAGATAGAACTGTGATGAACATTGTCACTTCAATCATTTCAATAATTACAATATGAATATTATTAAAAATTCCAAAAATAGAGAGAACATTACCTTGTGAATCATAATCTCGTATTTCCAAATAATCCGTAAGTGAGCAATTTTGATTGGCTGGAGTATCCAGATCCATGATTCTGAGGATAATGTGGTAACCATTCCTCATTTTTAGGAACCATTCGCATTCCTGGCTGTTGCCATACGGTTGTGGATAGTTGGGACTTTTGATAGCAGCGCTGTAAGTTGATGATATAGTACCGCCACATGCCGCTAGAAACAGAGAATAATTAAAGTATCTTTATTAAACTAACATGTATACATATGTTTGAAACTTTCATTCCATCTTCTACAGCTTCAAAACCTAGTACGAGAGCAAACGAAATTTTTCAATATATTTAAGCATTGTAAATATTCAAACACGATGTAATTTCATTTTGTAAATAATTTGCTGAAAAGTAATGAACATTCTGTTTGTACAATATAGCTGCTAGAATCAGCTGCTGATATTCAATTGTAATTCCATTTTTAATATAAACGACTATAATAACTATAACTATGTCGAATAGCGACTATAACAATTATTTTGCTGTAGCAAATATAGAATACTGGTCATGTCTCTGAAGAGCGTTAGAAGACAGCAATAGTGCAGAGATGTAGGAAAGAAAGGTGTAACGTAACGTCGTAACATCATCAGTAGCTGTTTTTTTGTTGTTAAAGTCCTAGCTTTATTACTGATATTGTAGATGAGACCAGAGTAACTAATCATATCTTTTCAGGAATCAAAGGAATGTAATTCGTTTTATGGCGGAAGGAACGGAAAATTTACATCAGATAATAAGTATGTGATGGTTTAAAAAAAACAGATAAGATAATTCAAATGTAGACTAACAACAAACGATTGAATTTATGTCTAAAAAGGGCTAATATATAGATGAACCAGAGAAAAACTAATAGCTTCAATAAAAGAAAATTCAGACATGGTTAAAAATGTACTCAAAAATGTGGATGAACTTTTCTTTAACCAAGGGCCTACTTCGGCTTGCCCACTGCTAAGGTCAGAAGTCACTTTATTATGGAGATAAATATTATTTTGCCTCCCATCATAGGAGGGACGGACAGTTACAACCATGCCTTCTGCGGGATTCCAGCCCGGGCCCTTTGGTATCGCAGACGGCTTTCCTAACCGCTATACCGTCTGAGCGGCAATGTTTAGACATAATTTCTTTTACTGATGCTCAAAACATGACAGTTGAAAGCAGAGAAAGGCGAAAGCAGCATTTGGAATAGTCTTCTAAAGCAGTGAAAGGGAAAGTAGCATTTGGAATAGTCGGTTTTGGAAGCATTTGGAATAGTCTTCTAGAGAAGAGAAAGGGAAAACAGCATTTGGAATAGTCGGTTTTGGAAGCATTTGGAAAAGTCTTTTAAAGCAGTGAAAGGGAAAGCAGCATTTGGAGTAGTCTTCTAAAGCAGTGAAAGGAAAGCGGCATTTGAAATAGTTGGTTTTTGGGTTGGTTTCTTGGGATAACGGTTGCAATGTTTTATTTTAATCAAAAACAGTCAATAATTACTGGAGATTATTGAGATAACTCAAATGTGTTTTTAATATTCAGAAAAAAATTGATTAGAAGACGTTACATACATTTGGAATGACGTTTCCTTAAAATAAATTGTTTTGTGTTACATATAATAACAAGAAGTTTGAATCTTATTACGGCTTGAGCTGTTGATGTACAGTTAGATAATTAGTTTACTGAAGTGATACGACTCTGAGCTGAGTAGAATTCTGCCAAACGGAAATTTATTCAGTATGGATTTTTTGGATTTAAAATTAGTAGAACTACACTATAACCAAACACTGAAAGACCAGATAAAGAGTAGTTAAAATCAAATGCTCACGAAACATTACAAAAAGTCATACATGGGCAACAAAGAAACAAAGATAATTCTTTAATAATATTTATTAAGTATAATTCATAAGTATCTCTTCATAAGATATATTATCTCTTTCTACACGAATATATTACATTACTTTAAAATTTGTTTTCTCAATTACTTCAGCGATCTAGATATTATCAGGTACTTACGTACTATGACGACTACCTTGGCAACATTTGCCGATAAAAATTCTTCATTGGCGTTTTATAGTTTATGTTTATAAATTCTTTTAAATAAAAAAGCCCTAATTATAAAGGAACAAAAACTTAAAAACCAAAAATCCCGAATATATATATACATAATTCAGAAGTCAAACAACAAAAATCAGCGTTAATTTACAAAATTTTCACAGGACTAGTTTCGATGGTTTTACCGAACCATCATCTTCAGCTGCAAAACCGCAACGCTGATTTTTGTTGTTTGACTTCTGAATTAGTATTTATTCGGCGTGTTATTGTGTCTTAATATATATACATATTAGAAATAAACGTATGTATATAATATATATAATAAATATGAATTAAAAAATTAAAATTAACTTACTTAAAACTGGTTAAAAGAAAACGTTGAAGTTAATGGTGAAGAAAGTGGCGGGAAATAGCTTTCAAAATAGCATCGAAAGGCGTTTCCTGTTTTTTCCGCCAAATAAATTCAGCTAAATAGGTATCCAAATGATGGCGGATTGTCCCACGTTGCAGCTTGTTTCTCCATTTTTGCGGAACCCCACATCCTTTCAACGTATTGAGTAGGAGTCTGCGTATATGGGTCAACAAAATTGTATCGATGATTCACTTTAAAATTTTCCAAACTGGCAACAATGAGCTCCTTTGATTGATATCCAGACCACGAATCTGACATTATTGTTGAGCCTTCAGCAATATCATTTTGGATTTCATGCATTAATGTTGTTGCCTTAGCAAGTGCGGGACTAGTGCGGGATAATACTCTATAACCTATGTTAGAGTTAACCTATATAATCTACAAGGGTCGCCAGTTTTGGCGAGATATCTAGGTAGTCGTCATAGTACGTAAGTACCTATTATCCTATTGAATAGAAGGTTATGAAAACGAAGATTAAAATATATAACTATAAAAACCTAAATAATAAATACAAATTCATTGAATGAGCAAATCCAAAAGTTCTTAATATTCAGCGAATTAAATTATAGACATATGTAAATATTTCTAAGATCAAATATGTCAATTAAAAATCCTTAGGATAAGAAGGAATGGCGTTCTGATACACGTCGAGGAGAGAAAGATAGGATAAAATGATGTAGGACAACTTGTTTATTTCATTTAACTGAAACAGATTTCATAAATGTAAAAGAAATGTGATTAATTATAAACGTTTCAGCTCATTCTTAATTAATCTCTATGCAATTTCATTTGTGAAACAAACTAAAGTTTATTGCCCCAAATATTCTTCCTTTTTATAAGACAATGAAACATCTACAACTGGATAATGAATTAATGATTCTAATAAAATTATATTCAGTAATTCTGCAATTACCGATTCTGACGGTCGCTTTGAAGCCTGCTTGAGGTTCATCCACTGCTGTTACATAGACGGCGTACAAAGCGTTGCCAGTGCTTTGTACACTGGAGGGTTGGTCATGCCCACAGTAGCGTTGAAGAGCTGGTGCCATATCAGTGCCACCATCATAAATTTGCAGATACTCAACATTATCGCCATCATAGCAACTGGAACAAAGTCATTATAAATTTAATGTGAACCTATCGGTTTTCAGTCATATTGTTTCAAGAACGATATATTACTGCCATTTAATATAATAAATAAAGAAAGACATGAAACTAAAACTTAGCAGAAATACAACATCAGTTTAATGCTGACAGTGGAAACGTATCCAACTTTTGAATTAATGTTATTTGATTTAGATTATAATGGATATGATTACATAATAGGATCCAAAATTTCGAAGACTTAATAAACATGTCCTTTGACTATAATATAACCATTTTAAAGGAAAACTCCGCAGAATTACTAGGTCATATCGATGCAGAAACGTGAAAGTTATGTCATGGCATCCTCACCCGCCAGTGAGATTTCAGAGACAATGCGTCTCACTGTTATGTTATTTTGACTTATTTTATCTTAAGGTAAACACCTTTACGGTGGACTAATTTGATCAGCCCTTATGTGTAAGGCCGCTCGGGGGATTCTCTCATAAGCTCTGGTAAGAGCGGAATTAATTCCCGCTGTAAACCAGAATATGCATCCAAAGCATCAGAAACGTGAAATATTTGCAATACTCTAACCGGAACTCGAAATTCGAACCTCTCAGATACGCTTCAAAATTGCTTCCAGTTATAGTACGAAGGGTATGCGAAAAAGAGGGAGAAAATACTTTATAATTCTTTCGCAATAGTACTTTGCTATTGGGGTTTGTCGAGGTCGTCTACGTACTTCTGGAACCAATTCTTTCGACTAGGGTTTGTTATTCAGCTATTTCTCGCTAAAAAACAGACAGCCTTTTATTCGATGTTTTAATTAAAAACAAAACAGATAAAATATAGGGTGAGATTATTTAAGGGGTGTTGGAACCCAAAAAATCTTCAAAAAACTCTGATTTCGGATTTTTGCATTTTCAAATTCTCTACACTTTTATCTTTCTAAAAATACCATTCTTTAATCTCTTTGAAAATTAGAACTGTAAAAAAATCTAGTTTTAATATGTCATCGACTGCTTCGATCAGTGAGTTTTACATAAAAACGCGTTTTTCTCCAAACGTGATTTTTTTATACTCGATGTACCTTTCCTCAGGAACTACTGCTTACAGGTATCTAAATTTTTTATAGCTTATTTATTAGATTTCCTAATATTTACTGAAATGAACTTTTTGTGATAGATAAACTTAGAAAAAAAATTTTAAAAAGTTTTTTGTGTGAGAAAAGTGCTAAATTTTACTATGCCTAACAAAATATTCTGTAAATTACTCTAAAATTGAAAATGTTTCAAAAGCTCATTTCAGTATAATCAGATAGGTATACTTTAATTACACAAAAATTTTCAAGCGTGTATCTACAGCAGAGTTTCAGAAAAGGTACATCGAAAATGGCCAATTTAACATTGTCGGTATAGGGGTTTCTGATACCCCTTAAACAGAGTGCGTGCGGATCAAATTAGAATTATTTGATTATTGTAAAATACTAGTTAAGCCTATGAAACGAAAGAGGCTTCCGTTGAGAACTTTCTAAAAGATTTTGGCTCGTATAAAAGATATACATGATGGGAACAATAAAAACACCCAATCAGGCACTGGAATTTGAATACAGGCCCAACTACTAATTCTCAGCGATTTTCCCACTTGGTCGCTGGTAGGCCAGTGAGTGTGTAAAGATCAGAAGATGGTCTGCCTCATTTACTGTATTCATCTAAATTTCACGCTATTCATTTTATATTCTTAATTAATTCTTGCAACGCTGAACCGTTTTGTAAGGTATATAACATTACAAATAGAGATATTTCACACTGTAAATAGCTATCCTACAGAGGCAAGAATGTCTCAAGATTATTAAGCGACTTACTCTGGACTCATATGAAATTCATTCTCAAAATCCATTCTCATCCTCGTTCCTGCTGGAGATGTAATTATCCATTCACATTCAATGTCATGAGTAGGTGGAGCAGGATAGTTTGGAGATGAAATTTCAGCATTTGGTGTTTCTTGATTTAAATAAATGTGTCCACCGCAGCCAAGAGACAACTCCGTGTAGCGAAGCTCGAAGACCTGAAAACGAAATAATAAACAAAGTCAGCAAAATAATACCTTTATAGTTATTATTAGTCCAAACGGGCCGTTTCACTTTCAAACTGTTGCCACCAAATGTTAGAAATCTTCCATTATATTTGAAGAAATTAAATAGTGAAAAATCTGCATAAAAGCATGTATATTTCTCGCATTGTGATAAAACAGCGGTACATAGAGCCATCGAATTTTGAATGACACAATCCTAGTGAGAATACGAGCATGTGGAAGCCCAAATTTGAAATTTGGAATTTGTTTTCTTATCCATTTCATATTTTGTAAAGCTTTAACGAATTTTTTGATTAGCAAACTCGAGGATTTCAAAGCGAGCAATGACAACGTTGTGCAGAAAAAGCATTTTTATCTTCAGCGCGCGAGACTGCGTATCGGAAATTCTAACGATATGCTCAATTTAAAACTATTTTGCGATTTTGCTCTTAAACTGAATTTTATGGTTAGTGCGAAGAACGTGATATTTAACAAATAAAAGTAACAGACAAAATGTTAAAAAAACGCCCCTTCGGACGTATTTCGTCTTTAAGATATAATAAAACTTAAAAAATGCAGGAATTTCCAATCTTTCTAACCGTTTGCTCAACCAAATGGAGTATCAAGATATCTACCGAAAAACAGATTTAAACAAGATTACTTTAGCATGAAATTTGCGTTATATAATTACTACTAAAGATAGAAACATTTGTCACAATGCTATAAACTAAAGAAACCAAATACACCTCCCTTTTCCCGAGGAATAATTTTCAAAGCTTAATTTAGGTCTTAATAACCAAATTCTGAGATCAGGAAAGTTTACCTCATCCTGTTTTTTTTTAAAGTTTAAAATTCAACTCATATGGCTGTATAAAGACGAAATCGATTTGCAGTTAAATATGTGCTATTTGCCTTAGTTTTAGAGGAAAGTAAAATATGAATTTCGATTTTGCATCAAAGAGGTTTCCTTTCCTTTATTTTATTTTATTTTCTTAAGTTTCTAAGGGAAAAAGAAAAAGGAAAAAAAGAAAGGGAAAAAGAAAGCAAGAGATCAGAAATAAAATAACAGCATTCTCATGTTAGAGATCAGAGAATTGCTTCAAGCAAGGAAGCCTTCTAAATTACAAACAAACTGCCTTGAACTCGGGCAGAATTTACAGACTTTACTTTCCTTTAATTTTACAAATGAGTAAGTTCTTGATTTAATGATTTTGATTTTTTATCATTTATAATTTATTTCCCAGAGAGTGTTTAGTGCTATTTTTGATCTTCCTTGTCATAATTTTATTCTACTTCGTCTGACAGTTTCTTTGAATATTAATTTTCTCTGCCTAACTCCGAAGCTTTTGTACTGCCTTTATTCGGATTTCTTCAAAATTTATATTTTCACTGGGTTTAGAAAACTGGCAGTTTTTTTACTGCTAGGATCTCTGAGTGTTTTCTCTTTCGTCACTATAAATCTTTTTCTCTTAACCTTAAATTAACTTTTTAAAGAACAGGTTAATATATTGAAAACCTTAAGACATCTAACGTTCCCACAAATGTTAAATGAGTTAATAATTTAAAAAATCCTCATGTGACACTTTATTATCACTTTTTCAATGTGTTATTTAAATTGCATCTTAGGGAAAAAAGATTTAATTTAAAAAATATTTAACTTTTTTTATTTTTACGTTGCGATCTGTTACCTTTTTTTAAATCTAGGAGTCTGGAAGTTAAGGAAACCGTAACCTACTTGACAAGCTTACTACTACAGAAATACATCAAAAGTTTATTTCGTTAACTAATAGTTAGTAAAATTAAAATTTACCGCCGGCCTTAAGTGAAACTTGATTACCTTTACATTATGGCATGATAATGGAAAAGTTAAAAATGTGAAAGCGCGAGATATATTTTCTATTAAACGTCATTATTCTGATACATTTGCAGCTACGTTTTCTTTATTTCTAAACATTTCCTTGTCATTAATGATTTCTATTTTACATTTCATTTTATTATATATATATATTGTTTATTCCATGCAGATACTTAAGACGCGTTTCTCTGCAGATGGCAAGATCCATCGGTCTTTTGAAAGTTTTATTGCTGGATGTATTATTAGAATCGTAGCGTGGATCTTGGCTGACGTAACTTTGATCCTTGCCTCGAATCCTTTAAAGATATCCATGTTTGCATGTTAGCATCATGAAGGTATTTAACATGTAAACTATAATTTAGAGTAAATTGATCTAGAAAAGTTAGTGGTAGGAAAATAACACAATAATGAAAAAAAATAATAAAAAATAATTAAGTGATAAAATGAAAAAAAATATTTCACACTAAAATAAACGAGATTTTTTCATAAAGAGCATGCGAATTTCTTCATGCGAGAATTTTAGACTGAAATAACCTAGTAAACAACAATATCCGTTACATTCGAATTCTAAAGATTTGTTTTTACAAACACTCGCTGCAAGGCCTGCACGGAAAAAGAATTCAGACGATTACAAACGCACTGTCGTCTGGTCGCATGAATTTTATTTTAATAGACATGCATGTTTGTATCTTAATAGACATGCATGTTTGTACTTAAAATATTGTTTAGTATAAATTCCTCTAGAAAAGTTAGTTGTAGGGCAAGAGATATGCAAAACCCATGGGCATGGCCTTCCTGGGAGTACCGCATCAGAAATCGAAGGGAATTTCTCCTTTCTCGCGGATGTAATTTCCTCCTCTTTTATAGCAGACCCCTAGGTAAGGTAATGTTCTCAGAAATCAGAAGGCTGAAGAAAAAAAATGCATTTTGTTTTGCACTTTGGCAGCTGAAGATGCTTCTGCAGTAAAGCATAGAAACTAGTCCTGGAAAATGTATTAATATAACGCTGATTCTTGTTGCTTGACTTCTCCAATAATCATTATTCGGCATGGTATATTTAATCACAAGTGCATGTTTAGGCCTTTACGAAAGCTGAGAAAAAGCAATAAGCAACACTAATTTTAATCGTACTATACATGATTTGTTCAGCTCTGTTTGTCATTCAATGTGTCCTTGGCTCAACTGTCCCAGTACACTTTAATAGGTTTCCGATTATGAAGTAATTGGACGCAAGGAAACGTAAAGGTCAGACTCAGTAAACTTACAAATCTGAAGTTCATTATCGCGTTATATGATGCCCTTAAAATATGTTGATCTTAAATATTTCTATTGAAATTAATTGTATTTAAAATTTAGACAATACCTCAAAGTTTTAGCAAATGTTGCTTTCATGCATCTTATTCCTTGTATTTATACTGAAACCGATTAAATGGGAAGGAGGCAGTTAAAATTAAATATATTTTTCAGGAATTTTAAGTGTTACCCCTATTACGTAGTACCTGCATTACATGGTACTTCTTGTACATACTTTCATTTAAGTAGTACAGTACACTAGGGAGAAAGAGGCTCCCAGACCTACTTAGAGTTGCAATATACGGTTACACGGCTGAACCTCTAGACGCTGTCCAAGAAGTCATAACCCCTTATTAACCCAGGGAGACTTATACGACACACGCAGTCTGTGACATTTCACACAAGTCAGGAGGTGGACGGCAAATATCCACCAACAAAGAGAAGAACATAGTAAATAGTAGTCTGTTCAAAAGTATTGGTTAAGGGAAGCCAAACCTCGAAGGACAACCTTCGAAATCTAACCATGTAGCTCCCCCCACAAGCAAGGGGCAGACAAGACAGTTCCATATGGTCTTTGCCGAGTAACCCCCTAAGCGGCAAGGCCGTATATATATGGCCTAGAATATTTTTTGTGATATCTGTAAGAACGTATATATACGTGCATATTAAAATATGTTAAAGAAATTAAGGAAATATATCAAAAGAAAATAAATCCAGGTATGAAATACCAGGAGAGCTTTTACATCAAAATCAAAAAAATAATCTGTTCTCATAGTAGTTTTGGGAAATTTGTGCTTTGTTAGCGAAAACCCTGGCCGCTCAGAAGATTTTAACCTATCACCTAATAGACGATGAACATTGATTTTATGCTCCGGCAGCTGAAACTGCCTAAGTACAGATCTTAGCCAGTAGCTTCACAGGGTTTACCTGCGTGGACCTATGGGCGGATTTAAGTAGCACACACATACCCTGGTACTTTTGAACGTATGCCTAAACGCTGTCCTTGGCGAGCTGTTTTAGTTTATATGAAGTAACACTCCTGTCGGCCGATAATTTTATTCCACTGAAAGTCTAGCTTGGGGAGATAGTAGAAGAGGAAGGAAGGAGAATAATCCATGTCACATAGTTATGCATTCAAATGAATGCGCAGTATTTCGGATTCTCATTTGAGCAACGTAAAACATTTCAGCTACCTTAAAATGCAGAATTTTAAATACTCACCGGCACGCCTTGTGCTAAACTGCTAATTACTACCTTCACGTAGGCTTCATTTGTACTCGTCTCTGGCAAGGATGGTGCAGATGTGCCGCAGTATGTGCCAGATCCAAGCGGAGGGGATGTACTGGTACCACCATTACGGATCTGTGGAATGAATGGAACTAGATGTTTTAAGCATGCATTTGTTGTTAGAGTTGCAACGCTGTCATAGAAATAGAGACATTTTATTAGACCGATAGCTAATCCAACTAACGTAATCCTCTGCAGATTAAAAAACGTTTACTAACATTTAATTAAATTAACCAAGAATTAATTACATTAAATTACATATCATCACGTTTAATTAAATTAAGCAGATAATTATGTAGAAAGCCAAATTTTATGTCTGTTTTTAGACTTTTAACTAGAAATTTTTATCTCAATTTGAAATTATTTCAAATTTATTGCTGTTCGATGAATACTTTAATGGACCCATATTAACTTTGGGCTCACTTTGGATATTCTAACATGAGAACAGAATTTCATTTTTCAAGTGCTGCTACCACTGGTCTGTGTGCCCTCATTATTATCGAGAGTTTATTGTGAAATGCTACACTCCTGCTAGATATTAACGGATTTCTTGCTAGCATTAATAAGAAAAAATAAACTACTTTTGAATTAACTTAATTGACCACTGTCATACATTCTTCTTGACGTGGGTTCTGGATATATATTTGTTGCTTAAACGTGGATGTGTACGTAATGTAGGCATTAATATACATTTAATAGCACGAACACTTTATTTTCACACGAACAAAACAAATAGTTTACACAAAAAAAGAACCATATTTGTCATTACGCTGGCATGCAGCGTGTTACGGCTTTTATTGCTATCACATTCTCTTTTATTCTAAGTCACGTGAGAGAAAGGCGATGCGCGCCGTTCGGCTAAAATGGGCATGCGTGGTCATCAAGCCATTGTTATGGAAAATTCTTATGTATTTTTTTTTTTGTAAAAAAAAACTATGAGTAACTTTAAAAGATTTTGTAGGGGTAGTCTGGCCAGCTATCTTAAGTTATAATGTGTGGGAATTTTCAATAAATGTGTATATTATCTTTAATATTGTATGTTTTTTTTGTGTATTAATTGTGGTCTACTGTAGGTCACCCATGTGATCCTTACGGAAACATGGTTTTTCAACCGAACCTGGGTAATTATATTGCGGTAGTAGAAAAAATCAGTTTTGTGTTGGTGACTATACGATCGGTTTGCTGAATTTATTTTGATTTGAAGAGTAGACTTCTTAATTGTGAGATTGTATCTTTCCCCGGTGTTTGAAGAGTTCTGTGTGGTATTTGAAATGTTAAAGGTTTAAGGCTATCTCTAGATTTAGTATTGAAATTTTATGTGTTTTCAGGTTGGAGATATAAATTAGTTTTCAATTTAGTGAGAGATAGCCTGTTAAAGATTTTGTTGTGGATGTGGATGTGCATAATTAATCGTGATTCTACCAAAACACCAGGGAGGATATCTTTCTTTGATGTCTTTTAGATTTTAAAAGTTTTGATTACTGAGTACAGAGTTTAGTAGTAAAGTTTTTTTTTTTTTTTTTTTTTTTTTTTTTTTTTTTTTTTTTTTGTCGCGGCACCAAGCAGTCAGTTGTAAAGAAATAGATAAAAGTTAAATGAAAAATATTTTTTTTTTACCTACGTAACAAATGGTGCCGTGACCTCGCGACTGGTAGACCACTGTATGTAAATGTGTATTTTGAATTATGTATTGAATTTCTATTTTGTGTATGCTTATACTGTGTTTTGAGTAGAGCTGAATTTTTATGTTTGCGTTTACCTAGCTCTCTGACTCACCTTTTACTTAATTTAAAGTAATGTATGGTAATGGAATTTTTCTGAATTCCTTGTGTTAACTGCAATTTTTTAATTGTTTGATTTGGTTAGTTCATTTTTTGTGAATTATTTTTTAATGTCAGAACAATTGTTTGTTTTAATTTAACAGTGAAGTTTTTTTAAGTTCGTAAATGGTGTTAATGGATTAGGGAATTTGTAGAACAGACTTGGATTAGAAATGTTGATTTTATTTTGAGTAATTGAGTTGCTTTCTTAACTTTAATGCGCGTTAGTTTTGTAAAGTTGCGAGGGACCAGTGATAGTCTGTTTAGAAATTTGACTGAATTTTTTTTTTAGATTTTAGGGAAATGTTTAGATTATCAGCTTGAGTGAAGTTGTTTAGCTTTTTGTGTGTTCAATTATTCTGTGGTTGTGGTTTGGCTTAATGAGTTGTACAAGTAGTAATTGAGATTCCACCTAATTTCTGAGTTTTGTAGTTTGATGATTAGTGATTACTGTTGGTGAGAAATGGTTTAAACAGTAGAAGTGTAGTGTTTTAAGAGAATTTAGAATTGCGAGTTATGAGAATTTTGTGGCAATTTGTTTTGTGAGAATTTTGTGTGACAAGGTAGAATATTGTTGTGTTGTGAAATTTATGAAATTAGGATAATTACTCTTCTATACTCATTGTGTAGGTGTTCAGGTTGTTTAAATGCTAGTCTGGTGAGGAAATTAATAGTGAGTTGTGTAATATTTGTTTTTAACTGTGAGTTAAATTGTTAATGAGTAATCTATTTGATTTTATTAGTTTTTAATTTTTTGTCACTGGATTTCTGTTCTTGATTGAATTTGTTGCAAACTTATGGTTTTAATTCTAATTCGGTATTTGAGTTTTGTGCTGGTTTGGATCATTGGTGTGAAATGAGAATGAATACTTATACGGGAGACTTCAGGTTGCTGGAGCAGTTTTTGTGTGAATTTGATATTATGAGTTTTTTTTTTTTTTTTCATTAGTATTATGCTATGCATTTTCAGTTTATTGCCATTGTTTTAAACTCACAAGACTTCTTGTTGCTTTTATACTTGGGTAGAGACACTGCCAGGTTTCAGTGTGGATTTTTACTTGGAGCTTAGTGTACGCATTTGTGGAGTTATTGATTTTGAGTTGAGTTTGAGTTTATTTTGGAGATTTTGAGTTTTAAAACACTTCCTCCTTGTTTGAGATATTCACATTTATTTCCTTGCAGGTATTTTTGGTAGTCTATTTGGTAGATTTTTTGTGTTTATGCTAAAGTCTGCATCTCACAATTGCAGAGCATGCACTTTTGTCCTGAACAGACTGCTGTCTCGTTTTCTAAATTGGGGTTTTGTATGTTTCATTTCTTTTTGTTTACTTTGGGCGTTTTTGTATAGATGTTGCTCAATACTGCATTTTCTCAAATCAGTGCACATTCCCTAAACAGCTTTTGTAGACAAATTTTATGTTTCATACGGTTTAAATTTTAAGGGTATTTTGAACACCTTTTTGTTATTTTGAGATTTTTATATGTGTTTTTAACTTGCTTCGGTTCGGTCTTGATGTAGTCCTGGTGACAAATTTTTGTCTAGAATTTTTTTTTCGGTAATTGATTTATTATTGAGTTTTGATTCCTTACATTTGTCTTGAATTTTCTTTGGCTCTTTGAAGAATTTTTTTTTTTTAAAGTTCCGAGTTTATTTAGTTGGTTTTCACTCTGTTGGTGGTATGCGCTTGTTGAGAGTTTTCTTAGTTTCGGTTTTAGTGCGTGACTCCATAGTGGTTTGCGTTTAGGGATTTATTCGGCTGGTCCGAATTTTCATTTCCTGGTTCAAGTTAAGTTTTCAAATTTTTTTTTTCCCCTTTGTTTCTAGTTACGCGCTAGACGTTTTTTTGGTTTTTTGGTTTAGATTTTGGTCAAGTTACTGAATTCCGTTTCTGGAGATTCTCTCTGCGTGTGTGTACTTCCTTTCAGTTTAGAGGTTATTTTTGATAAACTTTTCTGGTTCATGTTGTTTGCTTCTGTTGTTGATTAGGATACTAAAAGCTTGTATTTATTTACTCACTAGTTGTTGTTTGTTTCTGGTTATGAGCATTATGTTGTTAAGTTGTTTGGTTGTTTCTGGTTATGAGCATTGTGTTACCAAGTTAGTAATTAAAGGTATCAGTGACACTTCACTCTTGCTGTCTTAGTAGTTACAAATTGAATTGTATTTAAATGTTTTAGTTGAATTTTCTTTTTCGTTGGTTTAAGTGTAGGTAAATTTTTAATAGTTGTGTGTACTTATCACTGTTCTCCGTGACTACTTCCAGGTGTGTAATAATATTCTGCAGTTGTGCATAATTTTATGTAATTATTAAGGTGTGTGTAGAAAAATTTTGTTTCTCAAAATTTTTCTTTTTCCGTACCGTGGGGGAATTGTTATGGAAAATTCTTATGTATTTTTTTGTTGTGTATAATTTTGCGTATATATTTTACTGTGAATTGTATTGTATTGTGCTTATTTTAAAATTAATGTATAATATTTAATATTGTTAAACTTTACGGCAAAGCTCCCTTAAGTTTGGCAGAATATGTGTTACAGTTAAAAGGGCGCGGTTGTATTTCCGTTTCTCACGCGTAGGCTTCTTTGGAGGTTAGAGGTCACTGTCCAGCTGCATTTTCCCCTTTTTTCGCGGGGGTTGAAAACACGTGTTTTTCTCGTTCAGAGGCGAATAGTTCTAAGGGGCAGCGATTTTTTGACAGAGTTATAGGTTGGAAACATTCTTCTGTTGCGTGGGAAAGAAAGGGTCTGTCTTCTTGTAGAAAGTTCTGAATTTCTGAGAATTTCAGTGGCGATTTATGACCTTTCTTTTAATTGGCGAAAGGGAGTCCATTTTCCTTAAGATTGGCTAAATTTTTTAATTTTAGTGTTGTTTGAACCAATAGTAATTTTGAGGCGTTTCTTGGTGTGGTGTAAACCGAGGTTTCTTAAGCCGTTGCACGGAAGGCAGGGGATCTTTTGGACTTGAAAAAAAAAGCGATTTTGAGAGAAGACTTTGAAGAGGTTTTTTTTGGAGCCTTAGGGGTTTGCTACTTTGACGGCGGCCCCTACGGGGCCGGCCGCGGTCAGTGAGGTGCTGAGATGGTGCGGAGGAAAAACGCGGCGGTTCTTCGGTGGTCGACCGCGGTATACAGTTAAGTTTTTATCTCCGAGATTTCTGGGTACGGAGGGTCCGAGACAGTGTGGGTGCTCGACATGTTTGACGGCAGCAATTCTTGCGGCCTATTATTTTCAATTTCGTCGCTGAGATTTCTTTTTCCCATTTGTGGAACAGTCTGAACTGCTCGTTCGTGCTGGAGTATCTATTTTGCTTTAGAAAAGATGGTGGAAATATGGAAAGTCGTCATCGCCTGAGGTCTGCTTTGGTCTTTTGTCTCCAGTTTCGACCTCTTCTCTTATCTTCAGTGGAACTTCGAAAACGGGAAGATTGATTGAGTGAAAGTGCTGCTTAACGGAGGAATTTGAAAACTTTAAACTGGAACTATGAAAAGGCTCCGGTTCCGGAAAACAACGATGAAGATTTGGCAGTTATTGTTTCGGGATTTGTAATTTAGATCGGGGCAGCTCCCTGAGTCTCTCAAAGGTGGTACGCCGATTTCGTGAGTGACTTTATATTTTCATTGGTTTTTATTTTGATACATAATCTTTTTAAATTTGGAAATGTTTAATACCAAAGCAAGTGTTAAGTAGATAAAAATTGAATATTTTGCCAAATTTCTAGCTGAGAAAGTAATTTTTTATTTAATGTTTAATAGTCAGAAGTCAATTGAACTAATTGGAGGAAGTGAATCTTTGTTTTAATGTTTAAGTGCTATGTTCAATATGTTTATTCTAAATTAGTTTTTTTAAATGAGTTTAATCTTCTTGAGTTCCTGCTTAAAATGATTAAGAACTGTGACGTGTTTCACGATGATTTTTGTATTAATGGAAATAATGTTAAATATGAGATTGATATGAAAAAAAAAAAAAAAAAAAAAAACTATGAGTAACTTTAAAAGATTTTGTAGGGGTAGTCTGGCCAGCTATCTTAAGTTATAATGTGTGGGAATTTTCAATAAATGTGTTTATTATCTTTAATATTGTATGTTTTTTTTGTGTGTATTAATTGTGGTCTACTGTAGGTCACCCATGTGATCCTTAACGGAAACATGGTTTTTCAACCGAACCTGGGTAATTATATTGCGGTAGTAGAAAAAAAAATCAATTTTAGTGTTGGTGACTATACGATCGGTTTGCTGAATTTATTTTGATTTATTGAGTAGACTTCTTAATTGGGAGATTGTATCTTTCCCCGGTGTTTTGAAGAGTTCTGTGTGATATTTGAAATGTTCAAGGTTTAAGCTTATCTCTAGATTTAAGATTGAAATTTATGTGTTTTCAGGTTGGAGATATAAATTAGTTTTCATTTAGTGAGAGATAGCCTGTTAAAGATTTTGTTGTGGATGTGCATAATTAATCGTGATTCTACCAAAACACCAGGGAGGATATCTTTCTTTGATGTCTTTTAGATTTAAAAGTTTTGATTATGTAAGTACAAACAAACTTTAGAGTTAGTAGTTTTAGTTTGTTTTTTTTCTGTCGCGGCACCAAGCAGTCAGTTTTAAAGAGATAAAAGTTAAATGAAAAATATAATTTTTTTTTCTACGTAACACCATCATACTTCCCCTCTAAAAGATTTGTTTGCATCTTTCAATGACCGGTCAATTCCACATACAAACATTTCTTGAAACAAAAACAAACCAAAAACTAATATTCATGAAATTAACCAATTCTTACTATTTTAAATAAAAGTTACTTCAACATAAATACAATAATCTAAATCGTTGAAAGATGTATCAAACAATTAACTTTAAACCTTAAATCTTTAATCTTCAACTTACGTCTTTTACATTATTATAGCAGTTCTCATATAAACAAAACAATACAAAGCAATCATTAAATTACACTTAAGCAAACCATGACTAAGTAATTAAACATATTATATAACGTTAGAAAAAATCAAAAGGTTAGCATTTTATTTCTAGAAAATGTTCAAACTAAATAGTCAGAATGTTTCATAGTTCATAGTTCATAACGTTTCAAAACTTATCAATTTTCAGTCATGCGTCCAGTGAGAGGAAGTTAATCGAGTTAATATGGTCTTTTCCTTTGTGGTTTGTAATCATTGCATGAAATCGTTGTAATGCTAAAGACCAGCGTTGCAAACGAGAACTTTTATGAGGAACAGTCGCTGGGAAACTTAGAAGAGTTATGATCGCTAAAGCGTTAAGTCTCAGAACTAAATAGTATGTAGGTTTCAAATTTCTTTAGGGTAAAGATAACGGCAAACACTTTCTTTTCAACAACAGAATAATTTCTATGCGCCTCAGTCAACGTTTTGTTAGCGAAGGCTATTGGGTATTCTGCACTGTTTTCACCTTTCTCACCCAAACTAGCTCCTACGGCGTATGATGATGCTTCTGCGTAAATGATTGAAAGGCAAACTAAAATTTGGAGAGTAACATTTAGGAGCATTGTAAATGGCGCTTTTTAATTGAATGAAAGGTTCATCATGTTTCTTCAGCCAAGCAATTTCGTTCGAAGCTCTTCTTTCTGTCAATGCTGTTAACCCTCTCGTTGCATAATTATTTATCAAAATAAGTTCAAAATTGCGTATGTTTTTATTTCATATTTCAAATCAACTTATATTTTAAAGTTGAAATGTACAAAAAGTTTTTGTAAAAGGTTTTTTTCCCTCAATATAGAACCAGATAATGAATAAAGGTTTATGAAAAATTCAAATTGGAGAATATCATATAAAAGCTAAATTTTGAAAATTAATGTTAGTTAAATTATGCTTTGTTTTATGAAATACAGAAATGTAAACGTATGTGCTAATGAAAATGTTCAAAATACTTACAAAATATTTATTAGAAATGACAGTATGATAAACTTCGAAACGAGGCTCGAGGCAAAATCCTACTTTGCAATATTTGCACCAAATTCGCGTTTCTTTGCGAATTTGTGTTGCCAATTTCAGTTTTTGTTTTGTAGTAACAAACAGCACACTGTCTAAGAGGCTCTTTATTGGTGGATGGGATATATGGCTAGCAAAATGTCGAGCGCTAGTCTCATGGGATTGAGAGTTGAACTACACACATGTCTGAGTTTTGAAAAGAGTGCAAAAAAATGGTGCAAAACATGCTTGTATATTTGGAAGAAATATGGACAACTAATTCCATCTGTTAACCTAAATCTGAATAAATATTAAACATCACAGAAATGCCGAAATGAAACCATGAGCAAGAAAAGAGCGAGTTGCACACTTAAATAGACGGAAAAAATGCATCCCTGCGGAAATTGCGGCATGCAAAAATTTCGCTTCTTCTTCGTTGCCTGTGGAAATCGCGAAATACGCAGCGAAAAGGTTCAAGTTTGTGCTTGCAGAAAGTTCGTTTCCTGTGCCTTAATACCTGTTCTAGATTTCCCAGTCATTTGATTGAAGCTGTTTTCTGAATGTATAATTTTATTTTGTCGTCTATTTAAATAATATTGTTGCGCTCTATCCCACTTCTGACACCAGTTGTTACGCTATTTTCTTCCTTCACGTTCGTACGGGGTTTGTAGATTTGGATTGAACAACGACGACACTGGAAGAAGTATCGAAACAAACTTTATTTATCCATATTAATCAGGACATCTCCAAAACACTTTTACAGTCGTCGAAGATCTACAATAAACACGCTGGAACAATCAGCGACACAGCCTTAACACTATCAGGCAATAATGGTGGAGACAGCTTCACTGCAAAGTATCAGAGTACAGCTCTCGACTCTTCTCGGTCGTTCTCGGCACTCCATGTACTCTCGAAACTTACCACGCTACAACTCGCGATGCCCTCAACGACACACAGAGCACAACTCCCGACTCTTCGGTTCACTCGTTCCCGGAGTTCAACAGACTCTCGCGACAAGGCACTAACCGCGATACACTAAGAGACTCTTCGATGCATTCGACGACCCACTCTGCACTCGCTGCCCGGCTGTCAACTCGATCGACTCCGCACGGACTGACTCGCTAGACGAGACACCCACTCGATACTAACTATTTCGCACTCTATGCGAGGCACACTTTGAGTCGCCCTCTCGATGATGCACACTCTCTGAGACACACTCTCAATACTACTGACTGACTGCAGACCAGCAGGGTTTATATAGTTTTCGGCTTGTGTTCGAGAACATTCTGAGCTAAACCGGTAAGAATTCGTTCCAGAAGGCTCTCCATCAGTCCATGGCATATCGCTAATTTCGTCGCCAAATGTGGCAACCCTGACTTCCCTTGCCATTTTATGGTAACCCTAAAACTGCTTTGCAGGAAAGCCATCTTACCGCGCTTGTACATTTCGTAACAATATTAACCTGTACTTACATAATTCTAGTCTTTACTTTTCATGTATTGTTTTCAGGAATCTCTCCCATATGCGCTATTGAATCTCTAATATATTCTAAGATATCTGAGTAAAGGATACTGCATTATAGATTAAATATTACGTATCTGGATAAAATACCACAACTATACAAATCTATTAGGAAAGTCACAACGAATTTTAAATATTTAAACCGGTCTGATATTGCAAGAAAGTTACTAGATTGATGTAAATTAATATAATTATCTCAGCTAAACTACCAAAATATCCATAACAATTTCAATGAACTGTGTTTTTAAATGCTGTATTTCATAAATTTCATATAAATTGTGTTATCTTATATGCTTAATCGGGCGTGCGGTACAATTTCAAGAAATATTTATTCTTTTAACTTACCACAAGGTAATTAGTACTGCAAATAGAATCCGAAGCCACGCTGAATTGGTCAAAAGTGAGTTGAATGGTTCTTCTGGGTTTCACGCGTATGTAATATTCACAGAAAAATGCCTTATAAAGGCGACCACTGAGATGAGTATGAATATATTCACTCTTTATCACTCCATTTGATTCCGTGAAGCGGGCTCCACATTCTTGAAAAACAGGAGTATGGTATAAGAAACGTTATGAATCAAAACATAATGATATTAACATTTAACATACTACGCAGACTCTTTAACAGCATCGAAATGTCATTGCTTTATTTCCATGATAAGTTAATTTATGCTGGAAAATTAAATTTGGATAAGAAGAAAACATAAAACTCAATAGTTAACCAATAAAGTAAATAAACTTCATATCTTTTAGAGAAAAGTAAAATAAACAACAAAAACATACTTTCAGTTTAGTTTAGTCGTTATTATAGCGAGAAAAACACACAAGTGAATTCATAAAATTTGAATTAGAACAAAATAATTTTTAAAAAATGAGTGAAAAGAATTATAGATGCAACTTAAAATTTAGGAACTATACGTAACCATATAGTGACGAAAGATAGTTATATATAAAAGAAGGATAAAATACCTAAGTGTAAAGGAAAAGACTGAAGGACTGTTAAAGAATTAACAGATTCAGTCATTTGCAATAAATATGAAAAACTAAACAAATCATTATAAAGAAAAATAAACAGCCACATAGGTTCAAAGTAAAAGAACTGTTACAGTCAAAGAATATACTTAGGTATCTATCACTTGCTGAAAAGCAAAATGTTAGTGAAGGGAACAGATGGAAGAAAGAAGGATTATTACATAAAAAGGAAAGGCAAAAAATCAAGAGAAAATGTTGCGATTGATGGGAATGGCATAACATTAATACTTTAGGAAAAATTGTTGCATCATCACATGCAATAAAAAAAATCTAATATAGAAACTACATGACTTTCTTGCACGGCCTGTTAAATTATACACATTTTTTTCCGTACCTCATTTAAACTTATTTCCTCGAATTACTCTAACTTAATTAATTGAATCCTAAAAGCAAGTTAAAAATGACATCAAAAATTGTAAAATTTGAAATTAATTATTCCAGTCAATTTTTGCCTCACGGGGATTGAACTTCTTATAATTTTTTTTTCACAACGAGTATAAAACGTTTCCTAATATAAGTATAGGAATCCGGAAATCGCATTCAAAGTTAGATTTTTGTTATTTGTCGAAAGTTAATTTTTTTTTTTTTTTTAGATTTGACATTGCCAAAACGTGAATATTTTCGCCATTTGAAACACTTCTGTAATTAGAAGTATATGACTACGACTAACGATTGCGAAAATAAAGGTCGTGTAAAATAAATTAGGTCATGTAAGGGGGTGGGTATATATTTACAAGTGTAATGAAAAAGGGAGGTGCGCAACTAGATGTTATAGCAGCTCTATATGCAAAATATCAACGCTCTAAGGGTAATCGTTATTGAATTATGCGGCATACAAACATATGTACTTACGTACAGACATCAAGATAAAAATCCCTTTTGAATGCATTTTACAATCAGTTTTAAGGAAAGAGTCCTTTATTTTCCCCCAAATCATCACCCCAAAACTTTTCCAAATTGATTCGGGAACGGTCAAAATGGATATTTCCGTTGAAATATGGCATTCAGTATTTACATATAATAGTAAAAATATGATGAAGAACAGAAAGCTTTTATTCGGAATGAGAAATTAATAGCATACAAGAAAGAATGTCACCAAATATAAGAAACGAAAGAAATGGTTAAGAAAGAAAGGAATATAAGATGTAACTAGGAGTAAGAAGATAATACTTTATAAAAATTATTCCATTTTAAGTAATGAAGGGACTTATTATTATTATATTATTTACTATGAATTACAGTTAGGTTACAATTAGGTTATTTACTATGAATAACAATAATACGTATATTGCAATGGATCATTCAATGATTTAATGTAAAAACGAAGGGCAGAGGGGTTAAAAAAATTAAACCAACATCATTAGATAATCAATAAAATAATCAGCCTTATAAAAGTCATGAGAGAAAACAAAAGAAAGCAATCATGCTATTTTAGGAACAAAACAGAAAGGCTAAAGAAGGCAAAATAAAAAAGAATACTGTCATTGAAAATAACAAAATCTGTTAAATATTACAAAAGCATAAAGAAGACGAAGATTACCATACGACAACAATAGAATTAACAAAATAGAAATCAAAATAATGGGAAGACTGAAAAGTCTGAGGAAAGAAAGTTGATATCATTTCAAAGCACAGGTAATGAGAGTAGAGGCAAAGAATGAATTCTTTAATATGTAGTTGTCGAACTCATGACTGACCAAAATTATAAGTGGGAAAACAAAGCATCATATGAATGTGACTGAAATATTCACAACCATCATCAATACCTTGTTACAAATGTTACAGAATTTATATTAAGATTGAAGAATTAAAAACTGGCAAAATTCAGAAAGCATGCAGTCCTCCTGCCTGTAAGTTAAGTACATCATTAGTAAAATAGTTATAAGGTATTAAGCTGCCCACGAATGTAAAACAAATAATTCATTGAGAACGATTTGGAGAATAACGAAGTTTTCATACTTTCATAGTTGTATAGTTGTCGCTGTCATCAAGCAGCGTAGGCATCATGTAGCAAGCCATCATTCATATTGACAATATTGCCTGCTTTTCTCACATTTGCCTCAATGTTGCCTTTTACCGATATTCAGTTACACTGTGACTCCGTACGAGGAATGAATGGTTAATGACACTAGCAAAAGAGCTACAGAAATCATTGTAACTTGTTGTTGTTGCCTTGTCCGTGTATTTCATGGAAGAATGATTGCCAGAGCCCCAAGGAGTTGAACTTCTAACTTTCACTCCAATTTCGGGGGCGAGCACCCAGGGTGTATGGTTACTTTGCTTAACCTGTTCCGCCAAACTAAGTTAATGGCACTACAGGGTTAGGAAGTCATCCTAGTCATTGCTAGCAATCTGACGGTTAGGCCGCCTTGGTACATTTTACGTTAATATTCAGTTTCTTGGATATAATTCTTTTCATTCTCTTGCTTCATTATCTCTAAAATGCCATTGTTGTAGTAATAGTCATTGAACAGTCGATTGACAGGATATGTGATGTAGTCGGAAGGAAAGAATTGCTGTCGAAGGTACTCTGTCAGAGGGCAGGAGAGCAGGTAATGAAGTGCGTCTGTGTCTTCCCCGCGGAAACTGCTAGAATAGTTGACGTCCCGTCTGAGGAATCGTCTGTAATACGCTGAGAATTTTCCCGTGGTTGGTACAGGACTGGCGGAAGAGCCGGTTGCATTTGAGCCTCTTTGAGAGTAGATATTGAGAAGATGTTGTTAGTAAATCTTCCTGTGATGTAGTCCGAGGGTATCACGCTCCTCTCCCCTACCACCAAACCATACGAGAAGAAATTTTGGATCGCCATATATTTAGTGTCCCTATGCCGCAAAGACAACAAATGTTCTACCTTTACAAACATCCATGTCTTCTCCGGGATTCGAACATGGGCTTTTAGGTACTGCAGTAGGCTCCCCTAATCACTATACCGTCTAGACAGCAACATCGAAACTTTCTTTGGATGTATACATGGCTCTGGAACAATTGAGCTGAAGATATCTGATTAGCATATATAACCTTCATCAGCTGTCCCAGTACGTAGCATAATTCCTTTGCGTTTGCTTCTAAGGACAGAAAATCATGCTTCAGAACCTATTTTCCTGTTCTGAATGGTTGGGACAGAGAACTACCTGACTTTATTGTCTTATCAGTGATAATTAAAAGACGATAAACACTTTCATGATGTTTATTCAGCTTCCAGCTTAAGTCTTTTACTGTCTGCGATTCTCATATAAAATCCATCACTTATCAGCCGCTGCAATACTTTGCAGAATTCGTTTGTGTTTGCTCCTGCTTGAAGAGTTCGAAATGTTCGGAATGGCCGTGATACAGATTTTAAATGTTTTTGTCTTACCAATGCCCATTATATGGTGAGAAGCACTTGGATAACATATACGTAATTTCTGGACTAAGTTTCTTACAATTGACGGTAGATTTATTTCTATCACATCCTTTAACTCGGAAGGACCAATACATGATGGATGATGGCCAGTGGGTTCATTCATAAGATGCGTTATCTCTTGCTCTAAATGTTGAAAATTAACGCAAAATCGTTCATTAGGAACAGCTACTCAATCAAATACCTTATTGAAACATTTAAATTTAACGTATTAATGATGCGTAACTTATCTGTAAATTTTCAAGCATAAAAGAAGATATATCATATCATGATGTTAACTGGTCTTCTCTATATCGTACATCCGCTGTGATTCGTCGCCATACTGATTAAGCGTTTGTACCTTTGTCATCTTCCAAACTATATCATACTCTCATATATATTAATGAACTCTATAAAAAGTGTCGCCCTTTGTAATAATCTGTTAAATCTAATTCTTGAGTAAAAATGAAAATACGCGCATATTTTACTTCTTAAGAAATTACAATTATCTATTTCTAGAGGGGATTTAACGCTTTATTGTTTCGCACTAATGCAATGCTTGTATGGATTCTTTCAAATAAGTAAGAAGTTAACATTTACAAATATAGCTCCGTATTTGTCTGCAAATAATCTGCTCTACATAAATATTTTGGCTGAAGTCGTTGTAAGTTTCCCACCTAAAAGTGCGCCACCTAAAAGTCATAATAGAAAAATCGACCTCAGTTTATTTCAACTAATGTATAGGATTCCCCACTGTGTAATTCTAAGTTACAATTGAATGTGAAGAATCTTAAGAATTAGTAAGCGAATAATCGCATGAGTTCGTGAGACAGTAAATAAACTTAGAAAGGGTTAAAAGACCCTTTATTATTCAAATAAGATTTAGCACAACTCCATCTTGGACTTATCCAATAAAGCCGACACTCGGGCTTGAATTTAAGAGACTAAGAATTAAAACTTAACTAATCTTAACTAAAAAGATATAGCCAAAGCTATCAAGTTTGGTTTAATTTAGTTTTATTAGATTATGGCAAAGCACTCGAGGGCTATCTGCTTTAGTGAAGAGGCCTTTGTGGAGGACTTTCTAAGGGAAACTGGCTCGTATAGACGTTACGCATGGAGAAAACCACGAAAACGCCCATGCAGCCAGCCCGTTTGCAGGATTCGGACCTCGGACCGAACTACCAGTGTTCAGTGACGTTACCGCTCGGCCGCTGGTGGGCCTCCGAAGCTATCAAGATTCTAAATGAGTTGGCCCCTTAACGCTAATTGACTGCAAAGCTGTTAAGGGCCTAAAGTACAGCCGAGCGTAACAATAGCTTAAGAGAGAGTAGCCTAAAAAGGCGGACTCGTGCTAGCCAGAATATCTGGTATCTCTCTAACTCAGACAGTAGAACTTCACGGTTATATACCGCTCTTCCTCATTTGCATTCAAACGTGATTCTAAAACTACGTTCTGGCCGGAAGTGGTAAGTTGAAATTAAAAAGCGATAGGAAAGGAAGTTTAACTCAAAATTTAAGTGTTGATAAAATTAACATAATCCTTATATGTATGTTTTCCTTGAATTTACTGAAGCCATGATTGCTCCCATTGCATCACGGATGATGCTGTTATTGCATTACTCTTTACACATGATGCCAAACCTTTGCATAATATACAATCTTCTCTTTTAGGGAACAGAATTTGCCCATACGTTTCACCTACTATCTCATGTCCAACAACTCCCCCCCTCGCAAAAAAAAAAAAAAAAAAAAAAAAAAAAAAAAAAAAAAAAAAAAAAATTGAAGCTTCCGATGGCGCGAAAGAAAACTTTTGACGACATTTTAGGTAATATTATACTACAAAAACAGCAATTTAAAATACACCTAACTGAAAATAATGCCACTTTTAAGAAATAAAGGAAAATTTACAAAAGAGTTATTTTTATTATGAGTAACAACAACATATTAAAATGAATGATATCAAGCATAGATTATAAAAGGGCAAAGGAGATAACGAACGTAAAATGAAAATGAGCCAGTGGAAAAGTGAACAGGACAAATAAACGATAGAGATGATTATTTAGTGGAGAAACGAAAATGCTGCCACAGGAAAAGATAAACAATAACTTGTAAACGGGAAGAGCAAAATAGATAAAGAATGTTAAAGAAGGCAATAGTATGGTAGAAAAGTGAGAAGTAAATGAGAGAAAGGGTGTATTTAGAGGAAAAATGAAAAATGCTGCATTTGGGAAAGATAAACAGTAATTTATAAAAGAGAAGGGCTAAGTAGATAAAGAATATAAAGGAATGCAATGGCACAGTGGAAACGTCAGAGGACTAAAGGAGAGAAGTGATTTGCCTAGTGCACAAATAAAAATGCTGCATTTGAAAAAGGTAAACTATAATTTATAAAAGGGAAGGATAAGATAAGATAAATTTGGGCTTCCCTGCCGCAGGACATTTAACGCTTTGCGGCAAAGTCTGTTCGGTCTGGACGCACCTAAAAATTTCCTTCTGTACGCACAGAAAAATTGAATGAAAAAGGATTTATATGTTACTATAGGTTACTCTGCACCTCTTTTATTTATAGTAGATTGCAGCTCGACACAAACCAGTCCATATATTTTAGCCATGTTTAGTTTCTTAAGACCCTCATTTTTCAAAGAAATCTTCCATATTTTTTTTAGGGTATGAAAGAAATTGTTTGAAAAGAAATTTCTGTGTTATTTTTTTGGCTGTATGCTAATCTCGTTATTCAATAATAGTTTTAATTTTTACCCTGAAATCTTGCCTAAAATCAAACGGCGAACCCTAAGTGTGCCCAGCCCGGGTTCACCGATAATCTAAGACAACTGAGAGTCTGTATTCTTTGTTTCTCCGCATCTCATCGGTCAGTTTATTGGCAGCAATGCTCGTTTCAGCACTCATTTCGAAGCTCTATTCAATCAGTGGGCCACTTTGGGCACACCCACAGAATTAAAACGATAAGTGCTATTTTCACAAAATTTTACTTGTGTACTCCTCTAGGCCTAATTAGACTGCCTACCTTTTTTTTATAAAAATCAAAACTCCGACTTTAAAAGGTAGCGTGCCGGAAAGGGTTAACCGCATTACAGTTGAAGGATAAAGTAGATAAAGAACTTTAAAGAAGGCTATAGTCGATTGGATAAGTGAGAAGGACAACTAAACAAGAGAAATGATGTATTTAGTGTGCAAATGAAAATGCTGCATTTGGAAAAGATAAATAATAATTTGTAAAAGAGCAGAGCAAAATTGATAAGGAACGTTAAAGAAGGCAATAGTTGGGTGGAAAAGAGAGAAAGACAAGTAAACGAACGAGAGTATGTATTTAGTGGACAAATATAAATGCTGCATTTAGAAAAGATGAAGAATAATTTATAAAAAAGAAGGGCTAAGTAGATAAAGAATGTAAAAGAAGGTAATGGCGCAGAGGAAAAATCAGAGGACTAAATTAGAGAAGGGATTTATTTAAGCGGAGAAATAAAAATACTGCGTTTGGAAAAGGTAAACAATAATTTATAAACGAGAAGGCCAAAGTAGATAAAGAACGTTTAAGAAGGCAATATTCGGGTAGAAAAGCTAGGACAAATAAATGAGAGAGAGGCTGTATATAGTGGATAAATGAAAATGCTTCATTTGGAAAAGATAAACCAATATTTTATAAAAAAGAAGGGTAAAGTAGACAAAGAACGTAAAAGAAGGCAATGACCGAGTGGAACAGTCAGCAGGATTAGATGAGAAGTGATTTATTTAGGGAACAAATAAAAATGCTGCGTTTGAAAAAGATAAACACCAGTTTATAAAAGAAAAGGGCAACGTAGATAAAGAACGTAAAACAAGGCAATGGTCGAGTGGAAAAGTGAGCAGGACAACTAAACGAAAGAGATGATCTATTTAGCCGAAAAACTAAAATACTGCATTTAGAAAAGATAAACAATAATTTCATATTAAAAGAAAAATACATTATATTGATTGTTAGCATAAGTAATTGTTTGTTGAAAGAAAAAAGATGCTTACTGATCGGAACAAAATGCAAAAATTAATGTAACAATTGGAAAGTTTGATGACAAAGGAACTGGGAAGAATAAAGAACTGGGATAGAGTATGAAGATAAAAATTAAAAAGCAGAAAAGTACCCATGTTTGTGAGAAATGAATACATGGGATAAAACATAGATAATAAATTGTTCAAATACAAACTTTCGGTCCATTCTTTATATAAAGTTCAAAATCTGGTAATGTTTGCGTAAGGTTGTTGCTCTTGAATGAAAGGATATTTAGGAGGAAATAAATCTACTGAGATATCTACTAAAATACTGAAGAGCTTAATATGTATAAAAGAAGAGGGGAAAAACTAGGATGTAATGCATTAATAAGTGGAAAACAAACACTATGAAACATTACTTGGCATGGCAGTTGCATTGAAGCCTCTGTAATGAGTGTAACCATCTGTAACGAACTGAAGTTTCATCAAATTCGTTGGGCTGACAAATAGCGGAGGAGTTTCTCTACCACAATAGCTTGCATTCAGGTGCCAGGCATCCAAAGCAGGATTCAGAGCTAAGAAAGGAACATTTAATTAAAATCTTCATTTCTTTAATTTCTTTATCTAAAATAAAATGCATAGTAAATTATGAAGCATTTCAGAGGTAAAGATTTCAATGAAAATATAAGTTTGGTCTTAAGTATTTCATATTCGATTATTTAAATTTTAATAAATCAAATGAAAAGTCATCAAGGCGAAGATAATTTCGTAATATATTTGATTCCTGGTATATTTATAATTTATATTTATTTTCATATGCTTGATACTTACTTTCTTGAAAATAATTGTCAGTAGGTGATACAGTATCAGACAAATGATATCAATTAGAATTCTTGATGGCATGTCCCTAAAATGACCTAGACGTTTGCTAGCTAGATAAATGTCAGTAGGTGATATAGTATGAGACAAATGATATCTCAATTAGAATTCTTGATGGCATGTCCCTAAAATGAGCTAGACGTTTGCTAGCTAGATAAATGTCAGTAGGTGATACAGTATGAGACAAATAATATCTCAATTAGAATTCTTGATGGCATGTCCCTAAAATGAGCTAGACGTTTGCTAGCTAGATAAATGTCCGTAGGTGATACAGTATGAGACAAATAATATCTCAATTAGAATTCTTGATGGCATGTCCCTAAAATGAGCTAGACGTTTGCCAGCTAGATAAATGTCAGTAGGTGATACAGTATGAGACAAATGATATCAATTAGAATTCTTTGATGGCATGTCCCTAAAATGAGCTAGACGTTTGCTAGCTAGATAAATGTCAGTAGGTGATACAGTATGAGACAAATGATATCTCAATTAGAATTCTTGATGGCATGTCCCTAAAATGAGCTAGACGTTTGCTAGCTAGATAAATGTCAGTAGGTGATACAGTATGAGACAAATGATATCTCAATTAGAATTCTTGATGGCATGTCCCTAAAATGAGCTAGACGTTTGCTAGCTAGATAAATGTCAGTAGGTGATACAGTATGAGACAAATAATATCTCAATTAGAATTCTTGATGGCATGTCCCTAAAAGGAGCTAGACGTTTGCTAACTAAAAATGTAAACTTCACAGATACGGAATATTGAAACGATCTAGGGTAATATATAAATCATATGCTGAGTACCAATGATCTACTGCTATAGAACATGAACTATACGTGAATAGTTTTGTAATATTTCAGATGCATAAATTTATTACCTGATTTGTTAGGAAAAAATATTGCAATTTTTTCAACGATCAGTGTGAATTAGCAGGTTATGAAATGGCTAAGAGAACTCGTGTAGCAATATCTCTTTCTAGCCGAGGATATTGTTGTTATTAATGCTCTCTTGCTTGATCTATAGTCAGCCGAAGCCCACTAAATTTCTCATGGCAAGGAGCGCAAGATACGCTTGTCGTTGGAAACATTCTTGAGCAACTTACAGGTGACAGTGCGATTTAACTCAGTTCTGCCACCATTTTTGATAAAGAGCACCCAGGGGGGACGGGTCCGAGGGTATCCCCCCTCTTTCACTGCCACAACCTACCGAGAGGACTTTCGACTAGCAGCATGGTCGGTGAGCCTCTATGCCGCAAGGACACTATACATTTACTAACATCCATGTCTTCTCCGAGATTTGAACCCGGTCCCTTCGGCACGTCAGTCAGCAACGCTAACCAAGTTGGGTGGCAGCCGAGAATGTTCCAGCTGAAAGAATCAAATGCTTTAAAATAAGATTTTCAATATCAGAAGATATAATACACTTCACATATAAGGTTTACGACAGCAAGCACTCTTCTAATTTTCACTCATGTACAAGGAAAGTAACAGCAATGGTTAAAATTGCTGAATACTGGATTCGAATGGAGGTGAATTATTTGGCTGCCTAAGTGTTTTTGTATTCCTCCATTCCAAGTGAGATAAATACGAGTCGCTTTTTCTTAGTGGGTCCTTCACGAAGACATATTTCCCTTAAGAAAACATCCCTGCAAGTAAATTATTTGACTACTTTGCAAACAAACTTTGTAATTTTTAAGAATTTATTTGGAATAGGTAAAACAATTTTATTCATGGGTTTATGACACGAAATCTTCCGCTTCAGCAATTAAAGAGCTAATGTTGTGCAGCTATTAAAACGATTTAATAATTAACATACATATATATATGTGTGTGTGTAATGGTAGCACTACTTTCGAAGCACTTATGTAAGATCACTGAGATGTAAAAGCGTAGCAATATTGATTGCGAAGAAACTTGATGCTTAGAGCTTTGATCCATATTGAAGAAGTACAAGTCGAGCCAGATTAAATTCCTTTTTTGTTAAAATTCTCATTTGTGGCCACAATACACTTGGCACTCCAATCATGCTTATTTACAGAACATTTTACATTTTTGACAACTATTGCGATAGGTAGCAAGCACAGCGAAATTACGTCCAAGCAGTGCACAGAGAGAAGCTGAAGTGAAAAGTGACGCATCAGTTCAGAGAAAGAAGAGAGGGAGTCAAAAGTTTCAGTTTTAAGTTTTGGTTTTTCATTCGGGGATTGGTCAAGAGGCATCTGCATTAAGCGTTACATAAAATCGCATTATTAATTTGAATGACGCAATTTAGACTTATAGCACTATTTTTAGACAGAGAGACGAAGTTCTCAAATTAAATAAAACTAAAAGAGTTTATAGCCAATTAAAATTACAAGTTTACTTTCATAATTTTTAATCTTATACACACACACATATATATGAAATGCATTTTCTCATACATTATTTGTGTTGTGCAGCTGGGGGCAACAGGAATGAGACAAATTTTGGAATATTTCAGCATCCATCTCACAAGCCTTCATCCTGTACCTTGAGGAGAAGTCATATTTATAGATATGTGTGCGTCATGATGCTCATCCAATCAGCGATATTAACTGAAATCACGAGGTGACGCTATCTTCTCATCAAGAGACTTATGCAATATGACATATTTAAAGAGTTTGGCAATTTGGCGGGCGCCAACAGGTTAATACAATTTATAATAAAGAAAGGATTTCGCCAAATTTAGGAACAGGGATGCAATTTAGGTAGAGAATCGCCAACACATTATTAAGCAATATGATTAGAATTTAATTTAATCAATTGATTTTAAAATATCATTACATATATATAAATTAATTTACTTACCATAATATATTTCCAGTCTATCAAAGCTACATTGAGGAAACCACTCTTCGAGCTCCAGATCTGTGATGTTCAATTCTACATGCTGGTAATGCGGTGCCCGGATGACGTATGTACAGTTGTAGTTATCTGGATAATTTTCTGGGTAGTTCGGTGACGTAACAAGCAATTCACTTGTATTCAAAGTGATTTCCTGCCAGCAAGGAGTTCCTAGGACAGAAACAGATAATTTCTTTTGAACAAGATTTATCACTGGAGTTCAGGTATCTGACGGTTTTAGATCCCACAAAGTAGAATTAATTAGTTAATCATTTTATTGAAAATGAAATAACTTTCCTTAGCCGCAGTGTCCAAGCTGCTTAGAAGAATGGATAGTGTAAATTAATGCTGCAGTTCGTATGACCTTCTTCCATCAAATTAATCAATATCTTAGATGCTCTACCTTCTTTTTAAATTATGCTATGTGTCCACTTATTTCATAAAGATAATTAAATTCCAGGTACAGACACTTTAGTTTATTTAGGTACAAACGTGATTTTATTTTTCTCAATTCTGTAAATATTTCTACATTTATATATTTTAACGATTCAATAAATACCATATAATTCTATATACATTATACTAATATTATTATGCATAGAAATAAATATACAGTGTGACCAAAAAGTTCTTTTAAACCAGAACTAAATGCGTGCATCAGTGTAAGAGGCAAGCTATTTAAGATTTGAATCTTCCATCCTGATCACTGAAGTGACAGCAGTGATCACGTGAATTTCAGTGTGATTGTGTCGTGACTGCCGGGAAGGTGAATAAATCCTGTGCGTTGAACAGTTTATTATTTGTCCTTGCTGTGCCTGGTGAAGAAAAATGACAGATACCAGCTACTTTACTTTGGAGGAGGGCTTAGTTACAAGTGTGGGTTTTCATGAGCAGAGGCACAACAACGAAAATATGACACAGGTGATGAATAGGTTTCTTGAACGGTTCGACAAGTTCAGCAATCACGTAATCAAACTCGTCAGACTTTGATCACACGGGGGAAGAAAGCTTGACTGAAGAGCACATCTTTGTTCCGCACTTTTAAAGGTTCCAGGACCCAGGTTACTTACTCGAAGATGTTGAATGATTTGAGTTCTCCCACGATGAAGCTCCTGCCCACTTCGCATTTGGTGTTTGTGGAAATCTGAACGAACTCTTCCCTGCCAGGTGGATAAGACGTGGATCCCCAAATTAAACAGCCCCTTATCGTTGCTCGCCTCGAAGTCTGGACCTTACGACACCAGACAATGCCCTGTGCGGAAGCGTCAAATCATACGTCAGGAAGATGTGGTGGTGGACAACGATGCCTGCGGCCAAGTGTATTTGAAGCCTTCCAGCATGGAGACTACAACTGCTGAAGCGAATGAGTAGGACAACATTTAACCGTATCAAGCCGTGCAGGAATAATGGTAGTGCACATACGGACGTTTGGGGTAAATACCTGTAAGTATTATTGAAGTTACGGTGAAAAATAGCTTGCATAAATGGACCTTCTGGCCACCTTGCATATATATATATATATATACGTGAATATTACATATTGTAAATTACACAGTATTAATGCAAGCATGATTTCTAAGTACATAGAGGAGAGGCAGTCCAATGCCAAGCGCAAATTAAGCAAAATTCAGCACTGTAGTCCCATTGCTTTTATCGAAAAGTCTATCGATTTCAAATAAATCGAAGAGTAATGTTTTTTTCCCTCAAAAAGCCCACTAGTGGCCGAGTGAGTGATAAATCACTAAACACTGGTAATCAAATGATTACTTTAAATATTAAGTCCACGAAATGAAGAAGTTTTTCAGGTAACTTTATCTGAAATAAAATGGATAGCGTTTGCAAAAGAATAACAAATAATACTTTTTTTACTTCTCTTATCCTCTCTCGGGGCCCATGTTCTTTAAATGAGAAAGATGAAGGTTATTTTTGATAATACCATACAGTAAAAAAATACTGTAAATTTCATTTGAAGTAAAAGCTTCTGAAATTAAGAAGATACTTTTTAAAGCAATGGGTTTTGTTAACAGAAATAAAGGAATTTTATTAACAAGAAAGAAACCAATTCCTCAAGTTAAATTATCAAGTTTGAACGTATTCATGCTCTCAAATATTAAATTTCCTATTAGAGTTTCCATCACAGCCATTTGAATAAAAACAGTAAACAAATGTAAGTCTTAATTATCAATTCAAATACACAATTAGGAAGAAAAAGGAAAAAGTACGGAATTTTGCCTTGTATTACACGTACACGTAGAAATGCTACACGCCACTTGATTCAGCTACAATTTTATATAAATAAATAGATATATGACTCAGATTTTTTCAACGAAATTTTAATTAAAAATATCCTTTTAATTAAAAAAAGTTATTTTAATAGAAGTAATTCGAAAATAAAGCCTTTTATTTAATGGTGGGCACTAACTATTTTAGACTTTGGCCAAGGCTAGAAGCGGTGATAATTTTATTATGAAGGCACCTAATAGGCGGTCACCGTTACTTCCTATGAATGGATCAACAATTTGCGTCCATGCCATCCGGGATTCGAAGTCGAACCTTTTGGTACAGCAGTCACAGTCATTAACCACTTTCCTGTCTGAGCGGCTCGGGAGGGGGGAATCTATTTTTTCAGAAATTAAAAACTGTTACCTTTAAGGGAATAGATTTTATTATTATCCAACGTATCAAAAATAAATGCGATTTCAGGTTCAACAGTTTTGGGGGGGGGTAATCGTATTGATAGCCATAAAAAACGTGTTTTCATAAGTACGGACACATAAAATCGCTTTTTATACACTTTTAAGGTGAACATGCTGTATGTTTAAACCATATATCTGGTTTTAGTATATTTTAAAGCATTTTTGAGAGAATTCATAAATTCTCTTTAATGATTACTTCCATTATATGGTTACGTTTAGATATAAGTTCAAAAAGTTGCCCAAATTTCGAATCTGAATCCACAGAATATCTGCAAAGTTTTAAACCTAATTTTGTTAATTAACTCCAGCAAAACTGCCCCACGATAATTGAAAGCATATATTACTATGATATTTCAACTTAATTTTCTTAAAATATCGCTTGTTTACTGACAGAATTTTCAGTATCGTCAATCGTATCCACTGAACCTTTACAGTTAGAGATACAAAAGTTGAGCAAAGAACAGCAATAAAGTTTTACTGTTAAGTAGATAAACAGCAATAGAAGCATGCATCATTGACGCAATTCAATTCTCATTAATCAGATTTTAGCAAAGAAAAGCAATACGCTAATTAATCAGGCCCCTTACTCATCAGATTTGGTACTTAGCGAATACTTTCTCACTTTTAAATGATGTTCCACCTCAAAGATCATTATTTTCAGTATCGTCAATCGTATCCACTGAACCTTTACAGTTAGAGATACAAAAGTTGAGCAAAGAACAGCAATAAAGTTTTACTGTTAAGTAGATAAACAGCAATAGAAGCATGCATCATTGACGCAATTCAATTCTCATTAATCAGATTTTAGCAAAGAAAAGCAATACGCTAATTAATCAGGCCCCTTACTCATCAGATTTGGTACTTAGCGAATACTTTCTCACTTTTAAATGATGTTCCACCTCAAAGATCATTATTTTCAGTATCGTCAATCGTATCCACTGAACCTTTACAGTTAGAGATACAAAAGTTGAGCAAAGAACAGCAATAAAGTTTTACTGTTAAGTAGATAAACAGCAATAGAAGCATGCATCATTGACGCAATTCAATTCTCATTAATCAGATTTTAGCAAAGAAAAGCAATACGCTAATTAATAATTAGCTTTTATAAACAGCAATAGAAGCATGCATCATTGACGCAATTCAATTCTCATTAATCAGATTTTAGCAAAGAAAAGCAATACGCTAATTAATAATTAGCTTTTATAAACAGCAATAGAAGCATGCATCATTGACGCAATTCAATTCTCATTAATCAGATTTTAGCAAAGAAAAGCAATACGCTAATTAATAATTAGCTTTTATAAACAGCAATAGAAGCATGCATCATTGACGCAATTCAATTCTCATTAATCAGATTTTAGCAAAGAAAAGCAATACGCTAATTAATAATTAGCTTTTATAAACAGCAATAGAAGCATGCATCATTGACGCAATTCAATTCTCATTAATCAGATTTTAGCAAAGAAAAGCAATACGCTAATTAATAATTAGCTTTTATAAACAGCAATAGAAGCATGCATCATTGACGCAATTCAATTCTCATTAATCAGATTTTAGCAAAGAAAAGCAATACGCTAAATTCTAATTAGTTTATAAACAGCAATAGAAGCAGCATCATTGCGCAATTCAATTCTCATTAACAGTTTAGCAAAGAAAAGCAATACGCTATTAATCAGGCCCCTACTCTCAGATTTGGTACTTAGCGAATACTTTCTCACTTTTAAATGATGTTCCACCTCAAAGATCATTATTTTAAGAACAGCATTAAATATTTTCAGAAAAGTGTAACCAGAGACATAAGCAGTTTTTCAAGAGATAAGTTCTATGAAAAAATTAAGCTGTTTTTCCCATTCAGCCATGTGTGCTCTCTTGGTGTCACTGGTAGCCCGTCGGACTGGCAATCGGAAGATTCGTGGTTTGATTCTCGGCGGGAGAAAAGGTGATTTCTCATGTATCCTAGCTCTGAAAAACTAAAAGTTTCTACAACTTGTAATGCCATCATTCCGTGAAATTTCAACCAACTGTTTTTTATATGGTGGAAATGTTTCCGAAGAAATAAAGTACACAGGGCATATCAAAAATATAAATAAGTCTAGACGTGAAAATAATGTTCAAAATAGTTTTCAAGCAAGTTATAAAGCAACCCAGAATCATCAGTTAATGTTTACTTTTAATTTTCAAATACACATTTTTAATGCACATGTTTTAAGTACAAATCTTATACTTTGTAAAAATGAGAAGATAATTAATTACACATGTATGCATGTGTATGAAATAAATTTTACTCATAAAAATGTATCCCTAATTCAAGAATAAAAATTTGAAATATAAAGAAAAAGAGAATATAAAACGCATGCATGCTTTTTAATTAGATATTATTCGTTACATTATTTTATTTAATTCTTAATGAACTTAATGAACTTGATTTTTTACGGCTATTTCAACAAAAAAAAAAAAAAAAAAAAAAAAAAAAAA